AGAAGAAGAAGAAGAAGAAGAAGAAGAAGAAGAAGAAGAAGAAGAAGAAGAAGAAGAAGAAGAAGAAGAAGAAGAAGAAGAAGAAGAAGAAGAAGCAATGACCCTGCCGGAAAAAGGGCCAAACCCGCAGGTCAATGTTGAGGATGTCAAGAACGAATGCGGGGAAAAGAGCTTCAATTGGCACAATGTACACAAACCTCTAGCCATTGACTACCAGCATGCGTATCCGAAAGAGTGGCCAACAGAGATTCAGCGACCCTTTGGATTGGCTCTTGACTGGGCACGTAAGCATGCCGAACGCAAGCATACCAAACTTTCTGTGGAGCAGAAAAGAGACCTCATCTCTAGCCTTGATGGCTACTGCATTCAGAATGACTTCGATACTATTGTATCTAGACTTCCCCGAGAATCGCAAAATGATTGTCTAACACACTTAGTTCATCTTTTGCTTGTCAAAGAATGCATTTCCAGGTTCTTCACGAATCCCTTCTGGTACCTTGTTCCGAACCCTAGGCCTGTGAATGATGGGGATGATAAAGGGAATTTGGCAGCAAACGCATCCGAATTTGGAGCACAGATATTGGAGCTTTTTGAGAGAATGCGTGAATGTAAGAATTCAGGTTCCCCATTTGACATCCTTTGCTCTGCCACGATAGCTGACCTTCCCGGTAGCTGAACCAGCGGCTGCCCAGCTTTGGCGCTTATAGACTACTCGTTTCTCCCACCCAGATCACAAGCTCGGATATGACATGATCGCTCATCGAGACTCCGTGGCTGACAAAATATGCGAGGAAGTCTTGGGCCAAGAGCTAGTGAAATTGCTCCTCAGAAGTACGGTCAAATGTGATCTGGATAGAGCCTTCCTTGACATGCAGAAGGTCTTCAGGTCAGCCGCTGAACTTTCGGTGAAAATTTCATGCAACCTTGAGCGTCTGGAGTTTAAGACTCTCAATAATTTGGGCCATGCCTTTCATCATCCTTCGGCGGAGATAGAATTGGCCGAGGATTATGGAGGGGCTGAGAAGGAACATTGTTTTGATGACCGCCAAATTCTCTTCTTGGAGTTTCCCGCCATGTATTGTTGCGGAGATCTTAAGGATCCCTTTTATAAGGGTATCCTTCATAAAGCGGTTGTCTATGTTGAGGATGTAGATTAGCGTTTGCTCAGCCACTGGGACATGCTGCCTTTTAAACCAGTCCTGTGGCAGTGGTCTGTTGAGTCTTTTTATTTTTTATTTCTCTTATGTTTTTACTTTTAATTTTTTTCATCCCCGTTTTAATCTTATCTCACTTGTTTACCCAATGGAGGCAGGATGTGAAGATGACTCCAACAGCTCTTGATTCGCGGCTTGGAGTTGAAACTGTCAACATTCATCACGAGGTCTTCAGTATTTCCTTCGGTTATTTCCGGCTAATTTACTTCTAAGTGTTGTATTCATCTGTGGATGATTGCTTTACCAGAATGCCAGATCAGAATTTTGAGCTCAAGGACTAGCATTAGCAGTTCCGGGAGGGGGCGGGCCTTATAAGGCGGGGGGTAGCTTGACACTCGGAAGGGAACTTCATCGCTACGTTCAATGGTGGTCTAGTATGTAACTTTTCAAACAAACTTGAACAAGAATCTCCTATTCGTACAATTTTCGTATCGTAAATCGTTGCACATGTAATACTCCCGGTTCTTAGATCGTATGCTACCTACCTTCTCCCAGTAAACAATTCCTTGTCTTTGTCTCGAGCACTACGAGGAAGTTATCAAGTCAGACCAAACGCAGCCATTTCACCATTGATAGCTCCTTTCATCGAGTCTTACCATCCACATCGCGTATATACACGACTTATATCAGCTGCATCAACCATTCCAGGTTCAGCTGGATCATAAGTCGGGCACATATTGTGGGTGTACATTTCAGCAAAGGGCATTATGCATCGGTCTGTCTCCAAGCACTGAGCGTGGGCCTCAGGACGAAGGCAGTAGTCGGCAGGCTTACCCGTGTCCAGATCATTATATCCAACAGAAGTAGCGTACAATCTATCCAGTTAGCTCATACGCTAACTGGGGAATGCCTGCATTCAGCCCCACGGGGATTGCCCTTTCAGGACAAGTGCTGACAGCTGGTCGTTTGTTCCTGACAGGGTATATAGGTCAGTCGCATGTAGTTTACTGCTCTCAGACCCAGCAAACTCCTTTTCTCCCCTTCTCCACAAGCCACACTTAATAATGTCGAGCGAAAAGTTCAACGTCACGGAGCATGCCGTTCCCGGCTGCCATATCCGAGAATATCCCGGGAGTACTGTTCACCAGGAAGACATACTGAAACTCCATGTCAAGCGGTATACTCCCAAGAATCAGGCTGAACCCGTTCCTGCCGATGCCATCACTATCATCGCTGCTCACGGAGCTGCACTTCCCAAGGTAACACGGTCTTACTGGCACCTATTTGTCAGGTGCACACAGGTCTAATTACACGAATTGGAAAATTCAGGAATTGTATGAGCCACTCTGGGATGAGCTGCTAAACCAAGCCACCAGTTTCCATATTCGCAGCATCTGGGTGGCCGACTGCGCCAGTATGAACACCAGTGGGGTCTTGAATGAGGATAAACTCAGCATGGACTGTATGTAACCCACCCCTCCAAAGCAGCCATCTTGTCTCCCAAATGATGCCAATTCTAAGACAAATCATCTCTTCTCCACACGCAGGCTCCTGGATGGATCATGCGCGGGACCTGTTCCTGATGATCAACCACTTCCGCGAGCAGATGCCCCGTCCACTCGTAGGAATCGGCCACAGCATGGGCGGCAACATCATGTACGTCCCAGAATAGACTCTTCGCCCCCAGATATACCACCAGCAGCGAGCACTGACCATCCCTTTCAGCACGAACCTGGCCTTTCTCCACCCGCGCTTATTCACAACCATCCTCCTCGTGGACCCTGTCATTCAGCTGAGCCCACCAGCTATGGGGTTCGGCACCGACCCTCCGGGGGCAGCGAACTACACTCTCCGACGCTCAGACGTATGGCCCAGCCGCGAGGCAGCCGTGCAAGCCAACCGCAAGTTTATGCACGGATGGGATCCTCGATGTGTGGAACTGATGGCGGAGCACGGCTTCCGGGATTTACCGACGCGGCTGTATCCGGACGTGGAGGCGGTGAAGGCGAAGTTTGGCACATCCACCACCAACAACACCACTCCTGTCACTCTGACCACCACCAAGCATCATGACCTCCTCGGCCAAATTCGACAGAATTTCAGCGCCCGCAACCCGACCACTGGGGTGATTGAGATCCCTCGCGACTCCCATGCCGATTTGGATCCCGTGGCTGCCTTCATCCCCCTCTACCGTCCCGAACCTCGCAGTACCTTCTTTCGCCTCCCCTCTCTCCGCCCCTCCTGCCTCTGGGTTGTCGGCGGATCGACCTATCTGAACCTCGATGAGATGCGCCTTGCGATTCAGCGGTGTGGAACTGGGGTCGGTGGGAGTGGGGGTTTGCCTGAGGGGAGAGTCAAAGAGGTTACATTACCTGGCTTGGGCCATCTGATGCCGTTTCAGGAGGTCAAGGCCGTGGTGGAACCGTGTGCCGCTTGGTTGCGGGAGGAAATGGAGCGATTCCGTCGCGTGGAGCGGGAGTGGGAGGAGGCGCAGAAGGGGAAGAGCCATCTGGTGGTTGAGGATAATTGGTATAAAGTTTTGAAGCCGGTAAATGCTCGTCGTGGTAAGGGCGGGCCTAGTGCGAAGCTGTCATGAGAAATGGTGCGGTAGGGCATAGTCCAAGTTGTAGTGTGCACATCAGTGCATTATGCTGTTTATCAAAAGGATATACTGGCAGCTGGGTAGGGGTTGAACTTGTCGATGTTCTACCACCCTATTTGGTGGGCGCAATACTAGTCCTATTCTAAGTGTCATCCAACACCACGATCACCTAAGTGTGTAGTTTGGTATATTGAGAATTTGCTCATTTGCAGATGGTTTTACATCTTCCCTGATCGATACTCGGGAACAAAAAGAAGAAATAATACGCAGACAAGGGAGGAAGGAATCTGTTAGCCAGCTGTATACATGTTTCACTCGTGGTAAAAGACATCTCCTTCCCGCAACGCTTGCTTCTCATCGATACTAAACTCAACGGCAAGAGAGGTAGTCAATGCTTGCTATAAGCCATGTCAGAATTACCGGGCGAAATCAGAAAAGTGTAAAACAAGAATGAACCTACAGCAATTGTATGACCGAGAGCCTCCCTATTCTTCGGCTCCCAACCATCCATGAATCGTTCGTCCACAAGCCACGCCCGTAATGCTTCGATATCCCCACCGAAGATTGAATACATGAGGGCGCTGGTTCCAGATCCTGCAAGACTCAATTAGCATAGCCGTATGTACAATAGAGAACAGAGTTATTACCGATCATCTTGTGGATGAAACTCCCCGATAGTGTGTACTGGCCATTACTCCGCTTGCACTCCACACGGCGAAGACCAGAGTAGTAGGAAAAGTCGGTCAGTGATAGGTGTTTCCCATCTGACGCGTGGTCGAGTAATCTATTAATTAGGTCGGTGTGCGGGATGCTTTGGTCCGGGCAGAATGCGATATCGGGACGGGTAAATGAGGCGTCATGTTGGACAACCTGAAATCCAATATATTAGTTCCTGCGTGAGAAAAAGATCGCCCAAAAGAGATGGTTAAAGGTGAGAAAAACAAGAAAGGCAAAGCGAAATTCTCATGTATACGTACGTTCAAGACGTTGAGATCGTGGAGATCAATCCAGCCTCGGCCTTGATCCAGCTGCTTAGCTGCAGAGGTAAGTTGACTTGCTAGAGTTGGCGCAAGGTTGTATGCATATTGGATCGCATGCGATAATTGTGCGTAGGTAATACGTTTTCCATTGTTTGGCAGGATCCCTTGCAGAGTTACTCAGTAAAGACTGATTATATCAGTAGAGCGGGCTGACATACCGTGATTAGCTAAAGCGTTAAGTCTATGATCAGGTTAGGGTCAGCGAGTATCTGTAAGGTACGGGTGAATAATAATTACCCTGGACAGGGCGAACGAGAATCTTCTCCTCGTTTAGGGGCCGTGTACTCTGGCCAAACCCCTCCATGGCCTGGGTATCCACGGGGTATGACATTCCCGACTGGACGATTTCGAAGAAACGGGTTCGTGACCTATTTAAGTATTAATAAACGCAAAGCTCTTATGATGAGAATGGGCATCAATAACGCACAGTCGATATCAGGTCACGAATGGTCAGTTGAATAATATAGACACCAAAAGATATAAGATCGTAGACTGCTTTGAGGAACCGGGCCACGATGTTCGCGGCTATCTTAAAGTAATTTAACATCGTGAATGAGGGCTATGTTTAATCAGAAACAAAGACATAGTAAGATCGCGTCGGAGGGGTTAAACGGTTTATCTAACCCAGGTAGGGCCTCCAGGTCATACGTAGTCGCTTACAGTAATTAATTTGGGTTGATTTGTTTTCATGTTACACAGCAGCCCCTGACGAATCGCCACAAGCATCACCTGCATCAGCGATCGGTAAGGGTAGCATGAGTAGGGATCTCGCAGTGCTAGCTCAGCCTTAGGTTACCCTACCGGTTTTCCGATTTAGTTGGAGTTGCCTAAATACCAATACACTTTGCCCGAGCTTCTTCTGGAGACTTTACAGCTTATGCGACAGGGTCATTCAGTATTTATTGTGCCGTTCAGAATCTAGTTTGTCCAGTAACTTATGAAGGTTAGCGATCGGATATGACGGATGCTCAGGTGAAGAATATTCCCCATCGATGACCTGGGCAGGTGATGCATGATCTTAGCGGGATATTACTATAGTGATCGCGGCCACGATCGATGCTAACGGGGACGCATGCTGCAAATCCCGGGCTAGGCCTCTCTGTCTTTCTTCAGCGGCTAGTCTATCTATGCTTTGTAATACGAAAAGCGCGTCCTTATTCCTAATCGACTCGCAATAATTGGCGCAGTTACATGCCCACGACTCACTACAATATATTGATGACAAAGGCTATTTCGAAATTGAAAACTAGTTATTATGTGTGCATTCCTTATTTAATAAGCAAGGACAGGCGCATATGTTCGGCCCCATTTATTAAAGTCGCTCGATTATTTTCCTTACGCTCTCTGTTTTGGCTATGTTGTGGAATCAGCCACTCGGCAATTGTGCTTGTGATATTACAGCTGTGAAAGAACATATCATATGCCGACCACCACTGAAACCAGGTATTCGACTGATCAGATATGACATCAGTCTCCAATACAAGCAGTGAGGATCAACGGACTCGTGGACTCATCGATTATACGCAACCACTGAGATGACCTTGCCCTGCAGAAAGCACTGCCACAGGGTTGGGTCAGCACTTGCAGGATCCATAATGAGGCAGGGTGCGTGGCAGGCTCTGACTGGATAATGAAGAAAAAGAAATATCGAGTCAGGAGGGGCCGAAAATGGATGCTAATTTTGGTACTAATAAAGTAGTTAACCGCAGGGATTTGCTTACATCATACATACGATTCATTAGAATGATATGACAAATGTGTTCGGGTTTTACTATGACTACAATGGTCCGATACTAGTGTATAGATTGTGGTTTCAAATTACGCGGAGGGAGCTGGCTAGAAATACGTGCGACTATAAGCTCGTGCGGTTTTTTCAGTTACGAAGTATTGCGGTGAACAGGAAAGAAGTCCGGCGCTTTGCTATATTGTAGGCCTCAAATCCGAATGTTGCATCACTCAGTGAACGATGCACCATAGATCCACCGTACCATCATATCCAACGCCACATCGGGTCTGTCTTGGGGAAGCTGTATTCAATAAAATTCCATCATTAGCAACTCGCTTACCTGCATCCCACAAGGCGAAGAGAGTACTCACAAAATGACCTGCTCCATCAACTGTAACCAGCGCAAACCTCGACTCCTTATCCGTACTCTCACCAACCTTCACCCTCACCTCCTTCGTCGTTCCAGCCACTCCACTCTTTCCGGACACCACATCCACCGAACTCCACGACTGCAGTGGCTTGGAGGTAAATTCGACCTGACCCCTCCACGGCAGAGAATGGGCCCAGCGCAAATTCCCCGCCGTATTACACGCCAGATCCAGGTTTCCCTGATACGCGAGGAAATGCACCTGATTCGCAAGCAGGTAAGCAATTTGCTCCGACGCAGGCGTCATCTCGTCCGAAGTGCGATCGAATGCGCGCGGCACATTGTCGGATGTGACCTTGTATTCTTTGATTTCCTTAGGTGGCGATAAAGCAGCCCAAACTGCGGGCGTGTTCAGATATTGCTCGATACGAGCCGCTTCGATGTAGCAGATGCCGTCAATGGCGCAGGGTGCGGTTACTGTTGCGTATCAGTAAAGTACCATAGCTTCGCTGATAGGATATGACTGGGATGGGTGAATGCTCACTGTCAAATCGATTCCTACCACCCTTCCCAGACTCGTCATCATACCATCCGATTATGCCCTCGTAGCATACTTCCGACGCAGCATGGCAAATGGCTGGATCGGGGTTCCGGATGCATACATCGAAGACCTCCATGCATCGCGGCATGTTGGCAGCCATGATGTCGCATCTGGTCTTGTTGAAGATCGGCTCGGGTACGCCAGGGTTAGTGGTGCAGAGTGTTTCCCAGTAGCCGTAGGTAGTGTCGCGCGGCGAATAGTAGCCGTTGCCTACAAGACATGAGTGCAGAAGGACCTGGGGCTCATTGGGATAGAGCTTATTCTGTTGAACGATTTGGCTGCCGAGGTAAGGGACATAGTGACCCTATAAATATTAGTCTTAGTTAAAATAACCTGGAGAAGACACATACGGCATACGACTCCCCCGAAAGATGAAACGGAAGGGACTGCAAATGCGGGAACACCTCAGAAACAAACAACTGCAAGAAGCGATGCATGTCAATTGCAGCTTGATGCGAATCGCCTGGCAGTTCTTCGCCTTCATCAACGTACGAAAACCCCACATCGACTGGCTGATCGACAAACAGCAGCGACGAGTTCCGGGACCATCCCCAAGGGTTGTAGTAAGTGCCATTGCCATACTCATTGATCAGACATGGTCCGACTTCTTCGAAAAGACCGATCATGCTGGAACCGCCCGGACCTCCGGTCATCCACAGAGTCAGGGGATCATTGGCAGGGTCATTCTGACTCTCGAAGTACCAGAAGAAGAGATGCTTATGGCCAATGTCGAGCCAGCCGGTGTATTGGGCGGAATGGGCAGCGCAAAGCGATTCATTCTGCTGTCGGATGCGGATTGAGTGGTGCGGGGAATATGGGCTGTGGAATGTGCGGAAGTCTGACGGTTCTTCTGGCTGGAGAACGGCCTGGGTTGATGCATACGCCAGGCCGAATAGGGATGCACTGCTGAGGAAACGCATTTGGGCGTGGGGTGTGGAGTATCGTTTCGAAGGGAGGAAAAGAAAACGCAGAGAGGGAGATTATGGGGACCAGGTTTTAGCAACAGCTAGGCAACAATTGCGCTACAATGGCGATAGCACGCGTGTTTTGCCAAAAGGCGGTTCTAGCCGACCTGGAGAGACATGTCAATTGCTAGTGCTGACTGGAGTTGATAAGGATGATCCTGGACCCGCATCGGCCCGATGCATTCGTTTTCTGTTGGAGCAGCAGGAAAAGCGTTATCAATCCAGCTGTTATGGGGATACATGGAAATGCCGTGGTTTTATCTATATTCTCAACAATATATACAATATCTAGATTTCATCTATAACCTGACAAAAATCATCAAACATCAAATCGTGTCTGGCATAAGCTTTGTAGCCGTCCTCGAGGATATCCCTCTAAAGATAAGCACTAAGCATCAGAACAAGACCGGTCCACCAGTCAACGTCCCACCCGTTAGAGGAGCACTAATGATACCAGCCTCCAATAAATCCTGAGCCAATCGAACAAGTAACCCATCACATCCCTTAGCAGCCAGAACATCAATGGCGACAGGAAATTTTTCCTCATGTTGCGTGATGGTGCTGTAGGCTTCAATTTCTCCGACGGGAATGACAAAGTCCGGCACACTAGCCATATTAGAGATGAGAAATTTGCTGTAGCCCGAGGGCGCACCAGGGAGCGAACGATAGACATTACGCGCTGTCTGGGAGCCATCGGTGCCCACATAGACAATAAGCGACGAGGAGCACTGCTCGGGGTCGGAGATTGGAGTGAGGTATTTCTCAGCGATCCAGTCCATGAAGAGCGTTTTGTTGTGGATGGCTTCATCCAGTGCGGAGTCAGGATACGCCATGGACCAGTTCCACCGGGAGAGAGGGACGGGGTCGACGAAGGGAACTCGGCCGTCGTGCTTCGCTGTTTGTGTATCAGTCAATGTTGTGAGTGAGAGGGTTGGGCCATACGTACCAGCATAGTCGGCATAGAAAGGATCCCTAACCAGAGGGATCTGTTGCTTGGTGATGAGCATTGGGTAGGTCAGGTTAAGCAACGTCTCAAGCGAGACATTGGCGGGTGCGCCGGACGGCGGCTGTAACGTCCAATCGGCAGGTAGGTCCAGCGGGGTGGCCGTCGTATTCAAGAATGCGGCCAGGCGCTTTTGGAATCCGGCCAGCAATGCATCTGCCGCAGAGTCATTGGTCGTCGGGAAATCGATAGTGTATAGCTTGCTGGGATAGCGGACTGATTTGCCATGAAACGAGGTGTAATTTGTGCTGTAGAGAGCTTGGTTGGCTCGGTCCCACAGGTAAGGGTCCCTTGTCAGCACTCCTGCAGTGTCGAGTACCGGAGACATGGACATGACATGGTCGAGTTCGACCAGACCGTGAGATGGACGAGAACCGTAGACTCCCTGGACCTCGGCAGGATTGCGGATGGAACCACCAGTGTCACTACCCAGAGCCAGGTCCAACCATTCATAGGAGCCGATGGAAGCACCCGCGCCCGACGAGGAGGAAGAAGGGTCCTGGTAACCATCTCCACGTGGGTTGAAGGGCGAGTGAAGGTCCACCCAATCGTCCGTGGCGGTCTCCCCGTTAGCAAATTGAGAGGGCTTCTGTAGTCCGACAATAATGGCGCCCGCGTCAATCAGACGCGAAACAGCGGTGCCAGTGACGTTGTTCTCTCCGTACAGATTGTACCAAGCTCGATTGCCGTTGCTCTGCCGCATGCCAGCGAGGCTGTAAATGTCCTTGACGCCAACACGGGCCCCGGCCAGCGGTTTCTCATGGCTGGGGGTATAGTAGATGCGAGAGGGCACACCCACTGTGGATGAGACCAGACCGGCCACTTGGGCCGACAAAGGCTGGAATGTGCCGTCTGGCTTCTGGAGCAGTGGCTGTGTAAAGGCTCCTGCAAAGTCACTATACAGACGATAGACTGGATAAAGCTTCCCAGTTGCCTGTTCGAGGAAGTACGGGCCTGATGGGACAGCCCTAGACTCCAAAGGCGCGAGAACACTGGAGCGGGAAGTATTGAAGTTTGCAGTGACATTGTCGGGTTTGTAGCCACGGACTAAGACTGCACCCAGGAAGGCGGGTGTAAACACATCATCCACATCCGTCCATGTTGAGAAAAGAGAGGGCAACGATGATACCTCAACTGCCTCCTCTTGAACAACAGTCACGGGGTAGAAGCCATTGACACTGGGGACGTCCTTCAGGAAGGCTGCCGACACCGTCACATTCCCCGCTGAGTAAGGAGAGACAAAGTAATCGATCTGATCGAGCGTGACGGACAAGCCAGTTGACACTAATTGAGCGGATACTGCACCAAGCAGCCCAAGGGCCGTCACGCCGAGTTGTAGAGAGCGTAACATGATCAGAAGACAAGTCTGCTCAAAAGGATGCGACGAAGAGAGACCGAGGGCTGCCCAGCGGGTGCATAATATATACCATCCAAGCCAAGACTGTTAGAGCTACTAATCGGTGTCATCGGAAACAGTCGGCAACCTCCGATTATGGGCTTGACCTGTGATTGCTGTTCTTTCCAGTAATTCGATGTTGCGTCGACTCGAATCAATTGCATCTCCAAATCTTATCGTTATCAGCTCATCGGGTGGTAAGCCGAACTTGCCGAGCGATATCGGGCATTCCTTGCTGCCAAGGTGGAGTAGTTGGGGTCGTTTGGACCTTCCAGAAACCAGCTCCTGCAGAAAACTGGTCTACCTAGGTGGAAGCCTATCTCAAAGTGCTAAAGTTCAAGCGATGCTACTGTGGCTATCAAATAAGGGAGGCGCTACTGCCACACCGGCCAGGCTGCCTCCACACCAGCCTTCACTCAGGCTACACCCTGCCACCTACCCTAGAAGGTAAAGCACGCTCTTGGTGAGGTAAAACCCTTATTCTAGTGCAGGTAGGATCCTTCTCGCCTGCCACTTTAAGATATCTGCGCCTGAGGCAGCAGTTTGATACCTCTATCTCAAGATCATGGGAAGGTTTCTGCCTGTACTAAAAGCAAGCCTTACTCTTTATGGAACACGCTTTGCCTGCTGAGGTAGGCGGAGGATGTGGCATGAGCGAAAGCAGGTGTGGAGGCAGCCTGGCCGGTGTGGCAGTAGCGCCTCCCTTCAATACGCGGCCATAGATACCGTGCGTCCGAGTCATACTGAACAACCATGACGAGGCCATCTAATGGAACGAACTTTCAGGAAAACATCATGTTACTTGGAGTTGAGATGGTTCTTAAGATACATCGTGGGTCCGAATACATATCGTTTGGATTACCCCCGAGCGCTATCGCAACTCCGGGGTGGCCTTATGGTTTCTAGGAACCCGAAAGATACACACAGACTACAGCTGCTACCTACTGTCGCCATTTCCAGAGGAGATATCCATCGGGCCCAATCATTGCCTCCAAGCGCACCCAGACTATTGCAGCCGTGGCAGCAAACAGAAGGGCACTGACCAGCACTGACATGTTCTCGTACGCCTTCGGGGTGAGGGCATTGGCCGCACTTCTGACCAGGACACCACCAACCGGGGTACCGACCATGGTAGCCATGCCACGAACCATGTACAAAACACCGTTGACGGAGGCAAAGTTCTGTACACCGAAAAGCTCGACAAGACTAGTTGGGAAAAGAGACACATACGCACTGGCGAAGGTGCCATACAGAATAGTGAACGTGATAAATAGACCCTGCGACTGCGTCGTCTGACCGGTCAAAGTGGATGGTAACCAGAAGGCAACGGTAGCGATGGCACTGAGGCAAGTGGTGAGCAGAAGAGCATTTAATCGACCCAGTCGATCGGCCACATGGCCAATGACAATCTTGCCCACTGCGTTACAAGCATTGCTAAGAGCAATGAAGTTGGAGCTGGCTGTGGTACTGTATCCAAGGGACTGGGCGTACGAGGCATAGAAGAAGACCGGGGTGTAATATGCAGCCGCCTGGAAGACGGCGCCCAAGGCCTGGGCCATAAAACGACGCGTCCGGGCAACGCGCCAGTCCACCAGTGGCACGTTCAGAATACCATCCACACGACTGGTTCTCGAGGCATTCTCAATTGCGATACGACGCTGGCTGGCTGGCTCCCAGGCCATTGCACCGCTAGCGACCGCGACCAGCGCGAACGACAGACCACCCGTCGAACGCAGGGTGTTGCGAAATCCGAGGGCGTTAACACACGCAGTCAATGCGGGCGCCCATACCAGACCACCCACACCAGTGCCTGATAAGATGATGCCCATAGCTAGGCCTCTGTGATGGGTAAACCACGTGGGGGCAATGGTAACTGGTATCATGTAGCACAAGCAGGTACCAATGCCGTTCAGCAGCCCTTGTGTCAGCTCGAAATGCCACAATTTCGTGCCGAAGCTAGCCAGGATGAGAGAAAGCCCGAAGACAAAACCGCCCGCAAAGGAGACCATGCGAGGTGAGAACCGCTTCGCCCAAGCGACCGCGAAAGGGCCTCCAATGGTCATCAGGGACACCGAGATGGTACCAATCAGATCAATCTCTGCCGGCGATGCACCCGTAAAAGGTGTTCCGGGCTTTCGTGCCAGGCTCTCATACAGGGCTTGATAAACACCCCACGCGAAATTGAGACCACAGCAGGTGAAGATAATGACAAAAGAGGCGGCCACGATGATGGTGGATTTCCTGACAATGATAGTAAATATTTAGATCTCGCGCATACTTCAGGGGGGTATTGATAGCTTACCAAGTCGAATTCCGTGCTGCATGGTCCTCAGCTGGACTTGAAACTATGGACATGGCTGTCAAGCGAGGCATGGCGCTGGCTAGGTTGATCACATCTTCGGACTCAGCGCTGCGGGCGGTTATTGAGGCGGGCATTGGAGATGGAAATGTAGGGAACTTGTGAGTTCCTGAAGAGACACACTCTAATTTGGAGTCAAAATTTCAGTGTATCGACTCGATGGTCTATTTCATCTCTACAGACTGTTTATGAGTCATCTGAACCAAGCTGCAGAATGAAGATCTGACGTCTTTCGCATGGCTGCTGCGTGGATTAGATTGGTTGATGAGAACCTCGGATCCAGCCGACGGGTCACTTCGGCGGGTCAGTCCGGGGATGATTGCTGGGCATTAACTTCGACGAGGTAAATCACGCTGTAAACACGCTGTAAACAGACACAACTATATGTGTCACTATTGCCTGAGGGACATAAAGTTCTTGTTGTAGAATTTGTAAGTTAAGAACTAGTGCGTAACACCGAAGCACCCACCATGTAGCAGTGCCGAATTCACCCTGAATGTAGTGTGGTTTGTGTGTAGTGAGAAGCAACTGGCTCTATGCCAACCTTACGAGACAATATGCCACCATTATCTCCGATGACAGCAGCAGTGAATGCTCGATTCGGTGACTTATATCGCAAGAATCAGTGTGGACGGTTACTGCTGGGTCACAGTCTTCCCGCAATACCCGCTAACTCCGCGGGTTACTTCCCATTGGTGGAAGAGACCTTGTAGTCCTATGGAGTCTGTTAACAAACAGTCACATCTAATATAGAGCTGAAGAATTTTCTTTGCATTGATTATATATCTCGAAGCTAGACAGCTGGATTGATTGCAATCGCTTCGAAGACCATTCCATGTCACCGAGTCAGTCCTCTCAGTGGCCATCATCACCATGAGTAACCCACAAGATAGTGAAACCAGCAGCCAAGCCTCCCAAGCATTGAAGGTGAAGCTCACCACAAACTGGTTGATGCCTTTCTGTATCAGTTGTAACTGACGGTTGATACGTATCAGGCTGATGTAGAGAAATACCCTGGACAGCTTCTGTTCATGGGACAGGGCAAAGCCTTTCCTCCTCCCCTGCCGCATCGGGAAGACTATGTCGTCGATTTCGATGGCCCAGACGATCCTCAGCACCCCTTGAATTGGCCTCTCTTTACCAAGTACGCCATTCCTCCAGTTTCCGGACACTCGCTTACACCTTCCCTTTTAGAATACTCATATCGGCGATCGCATGCTTTGGCACATTTATCCCATCATTCGCCAGTGGAGTTTTTGCACCTGGCTCTGCTGCTGCAGCCAAGTCTTTCAATGTAGGATCCGAAGTCGGGATACTGGGTACGTCGCTCTTCGTGTTAGGTTTCGCAGCCGGTCCTGTCATCTGGGCACCCGCTTCAGAGCTATTTGGAAGACGATGGCCATTGACACTAGGCATACTCGGGGGTGCTATATTCACCATTGCATCCGCCGTCGCGAAAGACATCCAAACGCTGATAATCTGCCGCTTCTTTGCGGGAATGTTCGGGGCCAGTCCACTCGCGGTGGTTCCTGCTGTGCTGTCGGACATTTGGAACAATTCGCACCGCGGAGCTGCCATTTCGCTATATGCAATCCTCGTTTTCTTGGGTCCGTTGAGTGCCCCTTTCATTGGAGGCTTCATTGCTTCGAGTTCGCTCGGATGGCGTTGGACCCTGTATATTCCAGCTATATTGGGCTTTGCATGGGGTGGTATCTGCATCTTATTTTTGAAGGAGACATACGCATCTTGCCTTCTTGTGTCGAAAGCGGCCACCCTACGGCAGCAAACTGGTAATTGGGGCATTCATGCAAAGCAGGAGGAGGTCGAGGTGGACATACAGCAGCTTATTCAGAAGTATTTTACCCGCCCGCTGCGTATGCTGGTAACTGAGCCTATTGTTTTGGTTATCTCCCTCTATATGTCCTTCATTTACGGCATTGTATACGCCCTACTTGAAGCTTACCCTTATGTTTTCGAGTCCGTCTATGGCATGGGTCCCGGGGTTAATGGTCTTCCATTTGTTGGCCTCATTATTGGACAGATGGCTGCCTGCGCATTCGTTCTCTCACAGCACTCCGCCTACGTGAAAAAGTTAGCTGCCAACAACAACATTCCCATCCCTGAATGGCGCCTGGATTCTGTTGTAGTTGGTGCTCCAGTGTTCACCATCGGCATCTTCTGGTGAGTCAGGACACTTCATCCATTTGACTCGGTACTGAGATTGCCACAGGTTCAGTTGGACTGGCTTTACTGCCAGCATTCACTGGATGGCTCCAACTGCAGCAGGAGTACTGATTGGGTTTGGGATTCTCTCTATTTTCCTCCCATGCTTCAATTATTTAGTTGATTCATTTCTTCCTGTGTAGGTGTGGCCTAGAACATGGTGACAGTCGACGTGATACTGACTCTGTGTAGGGCTGCTTCAACCGTGGCTGCCAACATTATCCTCCGATCTAGCGTTGCGGCAGGGTTCCCACTTTTCTCGAAGCAGATGTTCGCGAACCTTGCGGTGCAGTGGGCGGGAACACTGTTGGGGTGCCTGTCGGCGATCATGATTCCCATTCCGTTCCTATTTCGAGCATATGGACCCAGGTTGAGAGGGGAAGGCAAGCAGATTGGCCTGTGAGTGCTGCAGCCGATCCTGAGGGTTTGCGGGTAAGAGAAACAGGGCAAGGATGACCCCCTTCACCTACATCGCCACTGTGACACTTGACACCGGGCATGACGAGGATCCTAGAGCTGGGTCTACTAGTGTCTTGAAGTCACCGGCCAGTCAGTCGGCGTACGGCCGGAAGAAAGCAGAATACATACTGAGAAGTACGAGATGATCAAGAGCGAAGGGTACGGTGTCGAGAGAAAAGCCAGTTTAGTGGCTGAATTGACGCTGGGCGTGCCGGTAGTGACCTCAAGCATGTGCGCTGAATGTCTACCACCGAGCGATCAGGCCTGAAGCATTACCTGGGTCGAGTGTGGGGATATGGTGGTAAGCACAATCGCTCTAGGGATCAATTAAGATTCTCTAGCGGGTGATGGGGGGAGGGTGGATCTGCTGCAACTTGTGCTTTAGACCCTGACTGTCTGCCTCGTCTTTACACTCTTACAGATCCTTTGCCCTGATTGTTTGCCGTTGCCCATTGTTCCATACATATTTGGCAGTTAATTATGTATATAATGCCTTATTTATGATTAGCGTCCCCAAAAAAAGTTTACTTCTTCTATCAGAACAATGATGTTTGGGTGTCGCTGTTTGCTTCATTGCCGGTCGGGGCAGACGGAAAACCAAGTGCCGCCCGACCGATGGATGGATGGCCCTTGGCTCGCCTTCAACTTCCACCTTCCTACTCATTCCTCGTCTCCTGAACAATACTACAACTTCTTCGAAATGAGCGATTCAAATGCCTCGAAACGTAAACGAGCTCGACTGGCTTGTGAGCCTTGTCGCGAGCGCAAAAGGAAATGTAACGGTGAATCCCCCTGCTCGACGTGCACGAGTTGGGGCTACGAGTGTCACTATCAGGCTCCGCGACGCGTGAGAAGCAAACCCGCCGACCGGGGAACCAGCATCCGCGACCAGAATGAACCCATCCTCGAATCGAGTCCCCGACAGGTGGGCCGCTTCACTGAGACCCTTGAAGTCAATTCGGGAGCGGCTTTTGTGAGAAAGATCGGTCTCAAAGTTGACCCAGCCAACGCGCCCAAATTAAATCTCTTTGGTTGGAATGTGGGCAGACGCAAGTCCCCCGCCGGACTCGCCCCCGTCGCGGCCTTTCCTATTGTCGAGATCCTCTCGTTGATGCAGATGAGAACTCTGGCGAATGTCTATTTCTCCAAGGTGGATCCCTGCTATGGTTTTATCGATTCCAGCGATTTTTTCCGCTGCATGGACAACCGCTGGCAGCCCAACGCGGTGGAAAGTACATATGATGGCGTCCTGGCTGGGGTCGCCGCTCTCGGATGCCTCTTTTCAGGGACCAACATTAACATCACCGAGTCTCACCTGGTCGAATTGGCGCGCTCAATCTCCGAGGCTCATGTCGGCAGTGTCCGTCCCTCGCTGCACCTGGTGACTGTATGGACCCTACGCGTGATTTATCTGCGCATGACTGCCCCTCCATATCCGGCGTGGGTGGCAAGCTCGACCTTGATGCATTTGATCGAAGCTTCCAGACTCAACCACTTAACAGCAGATGACGACCGTGATCTTGATACCCGGCGAAGGCTCATTGGCGTCGCTCAGCATCTGAACCTCTGGATCTCCTACGATCTGGGCCTTTCCCGAGTTCCACTGGGCAGTGACGCGCTGGGTCTTCCAGCATCGCGACCTGGCGATTTCACGACAGAGCTTCTCGGTCTTCTACCTGTAACCGCCAGCCTGGGTCTGGAGACCCAACATCCAGACCAGGAAATTGAAGACCTATTACACCAGACGTTGAACCGCAGTCACACCAAACCACCCTCTCTTCTTTGTCAATGTAATCTGGTTCTCTGTCTGCTCCGACGTCTCCGGTTAACGAACCTCACCGCATCGCCGACCACAATGACCAAAGTCCTTGACCTACTCAAACGCAGTCTATGTGCAGCACGTGAAATGGTCGCCGACTGCTCTCCATGGCACCATGTACCTAACGTGCCGTTCCAAATGATCAGTATCATCCTTGAGATGGACACCAGCCCAGCACTCGAGTTACTGCCTGAAGCCATGCAAACTTTGAGGGTGGTGGCCTCTACCTACGATACAGAAACCATGAGGGAAGCGTATAACACAGCATGTTTACTCATTCTTCTGTATGAGCGGCGTAGACGCGCAGATACAAGGCTGTTAAGCACAATACTCCAAGAATACCAGCAGTCACCAGCCACAGAGTCGTCGCTTCAGCAAATGGCAACTTCTGACGAAGTATCCTGGTTGGAGGGGCTGGTGGCTGATGTGCCGACCTTGCAGGGCCTGGACTTTAGTCAGTTTTTGCAGCCGGACATGCTTCGAATGTCTCCGGATGCTTCAGCTTGGGGGAACAAGTCTGCCTGATTGCCGACCAGGGGGCAGACTGCCTGAGAATATGATACCAGTATAAGTCGGAGATACCACCATAGACAGGTGCTCCTGACACACACCGGATGCCATATTCGAAGTAAGAAATAGCACGATAGCTCAACTCGTCATGTGACTGACTGGATGACAGACATTGTCTCGGAGATAACTGGAGGTGTTAAGGGGATGACCTGAGCACCGATATTTGCGGAGAACTACCATTTCCCCACTATAGTGCAGGCTGAGCGGGATCTGGAAGGCGACCGATGATTTATCAACGACAGGCACTTGCCGACGCTCCCTCCTACCAAGGGTCCGGAGATAAATGTGGATCTAGTGTCAGCCTGCAGCCCCACGGGAACCAGATGACATGTTCACCCAGCTTCAGTATATACAAAAAATGGCAGCCAAGTATAAATTCAGCCAGAGAACAGTTAATATGCTCGTCCATTTTCACCAGCAATTACTATCTCAATTTCAACCCTACTTCCTCAACCCTATTATCTCCCACCACGCCCAGTTACACAACACTTAGAAGACCTTTTCCAAACTCTAAGAGGCCAATCATGCCCGAATCAATCATCATCCCCTCCGCCCACAAACCAGACGCCAAAAGCGCCAAACCCACGGCCACCTTCACGGGCGACGTCTACCTTGACCCGATCCACTTCGCCAGCGACGCCTCCATCGCCAACGTGACATTCACTCCCTGCGCGCGCACACACTGGCATACCCACGAGAACGGACAGATGATTAAAGTGGTTGCGGGCAATGGATGGATCTGCGATAAGGGAGGGGTCCCTCGTCGTTTGAACACGGGAGATGTTGTGTGGGCACCCGCGGGGACGACGCATTGGCATGGGGCGGATGAGGAGAGTGTGATGACGCATTTTGTTGTTGGGTTGGGGAAGACGGTGTGGCATGAGGCTGTTAGTGAGGAGGAGTATAGAGGTAGAGGAGAGGGGAGGGAGTAAAGGGATATCATTTGAGTTGAGACTGGTGTTGGTGGTGGGACAGACTGGGGAGCATGATTATGGGTGGAAGGGGCGTTGTTGTGAATGAGTCTTCATTAGCGAGCCAGGGAACTGTATATTGGATGGGAATTCATCCATATTGACCAATTATTACCACTATCTTAGCAAAATATAGGCCATATCTATCATTCTCATATAAGGACGGTAAAGGTATCCGCACTGCAGACTGCTTACACTCCGCAACATCCGCAATACGCGCTCGGCAATCAACGGAACCCGGATCAGCCCCACTCTCTATACCCCAGCTCATCTCATCTCATCTCATCTCACCCCCTCCACCACTTCTATCATCATCATCAACATCATCAATAAATTCATCTATCTATACATCACAAACAACCACAACCACATACAAAATGCCGCGACTCCAACACCTCGCACCCACCCTGTCCCGCCTCTACCCATGGACCACCAGCCCTCTGATCGTGAGCGCTCCCATGCGCGGCATGTCAGGCCCCGCCCTAGCCGTGGCAGTATCTCGGGCAGGGGGCCTGGGCTTCGTCAACAACGCCATCCAAGACGTAGCCGCAGATCTAGAGCAAGCATCATCGTTGGTATCCTCATCTACCCTCAAAACAATCCCATCTCCCCATCTGCCCATCGGCGTGGGCTTCCTCCTCTGGGCCGACGACCTTGACACCGCCGTCGACACCATCCAGAAATACAAGCCCTGCGCGGTATGGCTCTACGCCCCGCCTAACGGCCAAGCAGATCTAGATACCTGGTCCCGAGGGATTCGTGCCGCGTCACCGGGAACTCAGATCTGGATCCAGATCGGGACGTTGTCCGAGGCGAGGAGTATCTTGAATTCAGCAGAGAAACCCGATGTGGTTGTCGTTCAGGGAGTGGAAGCAGGAGGTCACGGGCGTGCTAAAGATGGGATGGGGTTGATTTCGCTTCTGCCAGAGGTGGCTGATGCGATGGCGGGGAGTCAGATCCCGCTGTTTGCTGCAGGCGGGATAGCTGATGGACGGGGCGCAGCGGCGGCGCTGTGTCTGGGTGCGTCTGGGGTGGTCATGGGGACGAGGTTCCTGGCTGCGAGTGAGACGAGGATCCCGCGCGGGTATCAGCAGGAGGTTGTGAGGGCGGAGGATGGGGCGGTGGGGACTACGAAGACGTTGTTGTATAATCATCTCCGCGGGACGTTTGGATGGCCGGAGGAGTATATGCCCAGGACGGTTATTAATCGGTCGTGGGTGGAGCATCTGGCTGGGAAGGGGTTTGAGGAGTTGAAGGTGCTGCATGATGAGGCGGCGAAGCAGGGTGATAAGGCGTGGGGACCGGAGGGGAGACTGGCGACATATGCGGGGGCGTCGATCGGGTTGGTTCATGAGGTTAAGGATGCGGAGAGTATTGTGAGGGAGGTGAGGGAGCAGGTGTTAGAGCGGTTCGCTTTCATTGGGGGTCAGTAGTCTAGCTGTTGAGATCAACACCGTCTGATTTCTTCATTGTGTGTTTTTATATGCTGTTTGACAATTCACGAGCATGATGATCAAGGGAGGAGCTGTGCTTTTATACTACTGATGATATCTAGTACTATACAAGACCATCCGTCACCAATCTTCATACTCGCTCAACCTCCTGACAGCTTAGAACTGACAGTGTCCCTCGTGCTCCTCCTCGCCCTGACCAGATTCCTGACCGAATCCCTGGCCAAATCCTTTGTTGATTCCCCAGTTCGATCCATCCTGAGCAGCCTGGGTAGGCACCTGCACCTGGGTCTGGAAGGTAGAAGGACGGGTCTCCCCACCCACAGTCCAGCTGGGCACCTGGGCAGAGACAACAGCCGAGGTGGCCTCCGCAGCGACAGCGGCGACGCTGCTGGGGGCAACAGGGGTCTCAGAGACAGTCTCACGCTCAGTGGACGCACTAGCCGCGCCAGCAGCAACGTGAGTGACAGCCGCAGAAGCACTGCTCACAACAGCGACAGAAGCAGAGCTGCTGGCCTTGGCAGTAGCAGAAGCAGAGGCAGTGGTAGTAGAGTTTGAGGAGCTACCGCTACCTCCAATGCAAGCGAAGCTCATCTTCTTAGTGTACTTGGAGCTATCGGCAGACCAGACGACCTCAGAAAGATCCCATTCCATGTTGACATACGGCCAGCAGATACGGCCATCCGACATGGTGACCATATCACCGGACACATACACATCGGTGCTCTTAAAGGCATCGCCGACCTTGTTACCATCGGAATCGACCTGCTGGAAGTAGGTTCCGGCGAACTGTCCACGGCAGCCCATGGCAATGTATTCACAGATGGGATCAGAGATCTCCTCCCAGGTGATGAGGGCCGAGGAGTTACCGAAGGTGGCGACGTGGGCGTTGGAGCAATCGTTCGACCCCGAGGTCACCCAGGTGACCTGGCTATCGCCGTCCTCGTCACCGACGGTGGAGGTAGCCTGCTTGCCGACCTTTGTGTACTTGTCGGTGAACAGGGCGAGGGCGACATTGCGGGGGTTAGTGCGGTTACTGACGTGGGTGTAACCGTCGCCCATCCAGGTGTTCTCGGTCACGTCGACAGCGCCGCGAGAGACCCAGGTGAAGATGTAGCGAGTGCTGTCAGCGAACCGGGCCAGACCGCTGTAGCTGCCGCCCATACCGCCCATGGCTTCACCGGAGGCGCCGTTGGTGGTGTTCTCATTAGAGATCTTGACGCCGTCGTTGGTCATGCCCTGGGTCTTGGTGTTCAGCCAGATGGCGCCCTGGTCTTCGGCGCAGATACTGGCGTAGGGAGGCTCGTCGGCAGCTTCGAAGGCGATACCGGTGTTGTGACTGCAGCCCCAGGAGCTGGAGGCGCCAGAGATAGTCACGAGGGTGCCGTTGTCGGCGACGTATTCGATGCTGTCGCCGTAGTGGCCGGAGGCGTCGCCGGAGTAGTCGGTCACGACGAAGTAGGCGCCGTAGAGGCCAGCGGACTCGGAGTAGACCAGGTCGCCGTTCAAATCGGGGGAGGCGGAGAGACCGTCAGAGGAGTGGACGCCGGGGCCACCGAGCCAGGTCTTCCAGGTTTGCTTGCCGTTGGTGTAGCGATGGAGGACGGGGACGGGAGTGTCGATGGGAGGAGCGTTGGTGGTGCCGGAGGGCATGGCCTCGTTGGTCAACAGGGCGAAGCCGTCATTGTGGGCGACAAGGCCACCGGCTGGGTGGGTTTTGTTAGTGGAGTGTTACAAGTGAGAGTGTGGTTATCATGGCATACCTTCCTGTCCACCGCTAACAGTGACGGTGGTTCCCGTAGCCTCAAAGGTAGTCGGGTCCAGCTCAGTAACGTGGACGTCAGACCCGCTGGCATCCAAGTAGGCGAGATAGGCAGTCTTTCCATCGGGGGAGACAGCGAAGGGAGTGCGACGATGGTGAACGTAGTCAGTCCAGTAGGCCGCCTCGATGGGGTTGAAGGAGCTGTCGAGTGCCAGCACGTCGACGTGGGTTTTGAGGTTAGACTCGGTGAGAGCAGCAGAGGCGCCCAGCGCCGCAGAGAGCAGAGAAAGAGCGAAAGAGCCACGCATGACGGGCGATAGTTGGTAAGCTGTCTGCAAAGTGTTTGTTGCTGCTAATATAAATATCGGGGGACTTGCTAGGATATATAGGGCTGGTGAGACGGACAACCGGTTCCGACAGGAGCACTATTGTGGGAATTAAGGGTGTGGCCTAAGCCTTTCTGGTGCCATTGTTCTCGATGAGAGTGAGACCCTGATGGGGCATTTCCCCTGGTTAATGGAACTGGGGTTTCATCTTGATCGATGCTAGGGTCTCGGCTCTTCACCGCCCGGCCGCCTGCCAAACCGGTGCTCCACTGTGAGGCTATATTAGAGTTCACTTAAGTCTATTTACACGCTACCTGCATTTGACCTGAGTCAGTGAGAAGTAAAAAGATAGGGGTGCCATATGATAGGCAGCAGTCTCTGCATCTATGACGAAACGCCCAGAAGACCCCATAGGACACCGCGGATAAATGCTGATGCGACCAGCGATGTCGAAGGAAAGGGGATGCTTGGCAGCGGATACGTGAAACAGTACGGCTCCGAAGAGTCTCCGTGAGCTTCTTTCGTGGAGTGGGGTCAGTTGGAGTATTGAACTCATATAGGCCATTCAGTGTTCGGCAATCTGACAGACTCGTGTGGAACCCAACTTTTTGCCAGCTAGATATCCAGCCACCACGTTCGTATGATTGCTAGCAATGCTCATGGGCATGGCCGTCAGCTAAGACATGAACGGAGAAAATGCGATATAGTTATCAGCTCCTGTCACATATATCTTATAGCACATAATGAACCTATTCGTTTCAGGTTTATCTCATCATTAAGCTCCACAGTTCACTGTCCCGAGATCAGCAGCACGATCGCTCGATACGTTGCTTCGTGATCTACCTCATACCTCCAATCGCAGCACAGAAGGCTTGCTCGGAATAAGCGGAAAAACTTCAGTTGGTGGAGTTTTCATAACATCAGGACTTATATCGCGAAATCCGGTTGTCCTAGAATGTTACCTGCATTTCGCGGCGCATGACGCCAACGGGGTAATCCTCGTGACGGTGCATGGCTAGCTTCAGAATTCGGAGATATAGAATCAAAACTATACTCAGCCAGCCTTTTATTTCAAACACACTCAATGCATCATAAAGCGTTGGGTACTTCGATGAATGTCTTTCAAATTTATTTCGATCTCCTGTTCGGCATTGGCATTTCATGAGACCAGCGCGCTCTCTGTTGATATATGACGCAGATAAAGGCTTAGCTCCTGCTCTTATGAACTCATTGACTCTGAGACGCTAGATGTTCCGGCGGAGCCTATATATGTAATCGAGGGCTCCGGCAGATGGGAAGCGCGAGCATGGCTGGGATTGTTTCCTGTCTATTTCAGGCTGGATTGTGATATGAAGTGACACAGTATGCTGTCTCGTATACAAAACAGACAGACACCGTAATGTCATTCCATTATTAGACCAATATCTGCCAACCAAGTGAGATCATGGTTCAACAAAACGAATGACATTTACTTCCATTATTAATCAAAATATCAATAATTAGAAATTTCACCCGAGGCGCGTAGGGTTACCCTGCTCAGCTTAGCAGTAAAATAGAAGCAGTGAGCTACTGGCATTCACAGCAAAAAATAGTGTGCATGCACAATATTATATCCCATTTCCAATAGTGATTCATATGGGTTTAATGCGGCAAAGCGGAGGTCCGAAGGTCACTTGCCGGTTCGCTACGCGTTTCAAACTTCTGCTTTGCTAGTAGGGTCCTCTTCTGACTGCATATCCCGGAGGAGAACATTCGGCAGCTCTCTCTCATAGTACTATAGACTATTAGCCCGAAAACAAGCACGGCGCATATGCCTTTCACGAAATAGACTCACATCACGATAAATATTTCGTAGCCGCATTTCCATGAAACACTTGAACGCCATGGTCTTATTCATGAAGTTATCATGCACTGCCTTGGCATCTGGACCGCCCAAAGAGGCCAGGACTCTTTCAAGCTCCTCTCGAACAATGGGCCACCCTCCATGGGATTCCAAGCCTAGCATATATAGAAGATGGCCCACATGCATCTGAATTAGAGCATGGTAGACCTTGTGCCACACCTTATGCATATCATCGACAAAAGCGCTGGCGCCAGGAGGAATTGTACTGAGTTCAATACGATTTCGGGAGAATGTAGGTCGATGTATTCTTGCTCCACCAAAGTCGCGGACAGCAAATCCAGTAACCTCTTTTGAGGTGGTATTAATGCGGACGCAAATGTTCTGAGCATGAGCTTCGAGGCCAATTCCATGACGGACCAAGGGCGGCAGAAGCAAAGAGAATAACTTTGCAAGATAACTATTATTAAGAACATCTGTTAGATAAAGAAGCGAGCTAAACCTGGCTTGAGGCGGGTGGGGACAGTACTTTCTAAGCCATGTTTGCTTTTTCTGGACATCGTCGAGACCGAACATGATCTCCATGTACGTTCGACTATCATTATATGGCTTCTGAAATAATCCAGCAACTGGGAGAATGGTCTCTCCAAGCTCTTCCGCTTGCATTTCTGGACTTTTGCGTATAATGCATGTTAAATGGCGTGCTTTGTCAAAATCATCCTGGCCGCCTGTAATAGAAGCGGCATCTTCAAAGATCCATAAGTCTTGTGGCAGTAAGGTTCTCAGCGCCGTGCTGAGTGCTGGACTCAAAGCAGCAGTCCATGGTGTAATAGTCCTCGGGCCCGATGTGATCTGACAATTTAGTGAAAGCTTAAGATGTAACGGGGACCCCACATCAGGGAGAAATGATATAGTGCGCATTGAAATCTGCGCACGACAGCATCTCCTAACAGCGCCAACGTGGCGTGCATCAGGAAATAGCGGCAAGATGCTCGGAAGCTGACGGGTGAAACACGGTACTACGACTCTGTCTGGTGACTCAGGGCTAGGAATCCCTAATTGCTCCAGGAGAGGTTTTAGTAAACTCGTGTATGGTCCGAAGGTTTTCATTTCTGATCGTGGCAAAGACAGAAACGATAGCTCAGGTTCCAGCAGCTCGGGAATTTCGTCAGGTGTTATAGGCTTCAAAGGCGGCTGGGCAAGACATGCCCGGTGTAGCTTCACAGCGTTAATACTAAGGCAATCATGATCGAGAAAGGTAGTGGGAAAGCTCACCGGATGCGTTGGATGTCCAAGCACAACGGACTGCTCCCAATCACACAAGGGAGACTTCAGGTGTAGCGTCGGCTGAGTACTGGCTATTTCCAGCCATTTTGCTGTCTCATATTAGAGATGGGCTTTTGGAATATGCCCTGTACGCTCACCTTGATTGTCTGCAGAATTTCGGACTTCCTCCATAAGTGTCTCTACGGCGGCACTTGGAAAATGTTCAGGTTGCCATAGGCAGATAATGCGGCAAATGACACCTGGGTCTAATTCTTCTGACACTTTCCCTTCGACTGCTTGAGTGAGAACTGGAGGAAGTAGATCATCCGCACGTAGGAATCCAATGATTTTCCGATCGTTGTTCTCGACATAGGCGGAATTTCGGAGACCACACTTGATCCAAGACTCTCCAATCCCGGCTGGGTCACGTAAACACAACACCAAGTTTGAACGTATAGACCTCTCTATAGTTCCGCTGGCCAAGCCCTCGTTCACTGCACTGGCCAGGACTCGCTTGGTAGTCTCGAAGAGGGCCTGTCGCCGATTGAGCGATGTATCGGTTTCATGGTCTGCTGTCTCGAAGATGTGCGTTGTAACTTTGCATTCAGTCGAGTTGCGTGTGATATGTTCTTTCCATTCGGTCGTTTGCATCGTAGTAGAACCTTCACCTATGTTAGCTAGCATTCTGCTCAATCTCACCAATTGCCTTGACAACAGTCACAGCCTCCCTGGACTGGATGCGAGTCAGAGTATCAAGCAGTACGAAATATGGAATTTTAAAGAGCGATATGTAATAATCGAACAGTTTCATGTCGAATACGTAGTTAATGATAGCCGGAACCGAGAATGAACCCTACGGATGCTCCCATTAATGTTCCTGCCGACGACGCTGGAATGCAACATTGCTCGGGAATGGATGAAACCCTCCACCCGAAAGTGGATGACCGTGTCATTTCCGGGCTCAGTGCGATAATCGAAATTCTAATTATGGGTTCTTTTTGATAGTACCAAGATGTTAGGTGAGTAAACGGAACATCACGGTATGATCGGTGATGCATGTGGTGATATCATAGGAAGAGCTTCCTTTCTGCTACATGGAGTAAGGGTGCACCGTGACTTCGGAGCCAAATACGCCCTGACACGCACATGGTAGAGCCCTTATTTGAAACACACCCAAAACGTCATAAAGTGTTGGGTCATAAAGTGTTGGGTACTCCGATAGTGTCTTATCAGTTCGACCCCTTGTTGAGCATCGCCCTTTTATGGGGCCAACGCGCACTCTACTGACATGCAGAGCAGATAGGGATTTTTAAATGTTAGTTCTAAATCATTGAGTGACTCTTTGAAGATGCCACATCTTTGGGCTAACTACTGAAGCCCCTGCCAGGCGATTCCGATCAATGAGTATCGCGAAAGCGGCGAGATGTCTTTTCGAGACTTTCAGATCCGGTTGCTAGTTCAAAATGGTTGCTATTTGAGGTTGTGTACCAAAAGAGCAGGCGAGTTAATGCTCCTCAAGTTTTACCTGTTCATCTGTCGAGATGCTAGCCGAGAGCGTGAGGGTGTAGAGGAAAGTATAATGTCCACTTCACCTGACCTATAACAATCCTCTTTGGGGTATGTAGAGTTACATTGTTCAGTTTTGCAGCAGTGTCTGAGCAGTTGGCCGTTCGCATTGGTGAAGAAAGAGAGTTGTGCATATACACTCCTATGTCTAATGTTCAATAGTCTTTCGTTCCCGCATTGCTTTTTCTGCGCCCTCTTTTCTGCGACTTTCACGGATATTGTATCTAGAAACCTGAAGTATCTTCGAGTGGGTTTATATGATAATAGAAAATATTATTCTGTTCAAATAACTAACTGCTGGTGCTGCTTGGTTGATCTATCATGTTCTACCTCACGAAACTAACGTCATCTATACTAAATGTGTATTTATCATGGCTAATATTAAATAGTCATCTGATAGTGATGATCATAGCCAATCCAATAGAGAAAAGCAAAAGAAAACACGTAAACAAGTATATCGCTCGTGTGATATGTGGCATGATATCATAAAGTTTTCAGCATGTGAGACAAGTATATATAGCACTATGCCGTAGGAGTCGCTACATATTTCCGTCATAATCGACTACCCATGCTCAAGATGATTTCTAAATTTATTCTACTATCAATTTCTTCCGGAATCTTTATCCTTGCTTTGTTTATTCAACCTCAGTGGCTCAACTCAATTCCAAAGACGGCTGGAATTATAACATAGAGCTTTTAGATGCTAAACTCACAGCAAAACCTCCAACTTTCGGCTTATCATTTTGCGACCTGAAGTATGTTTCGTTCTGGATGCCCTGTCGCTATTCTAACAGTAATAATAATGTATAGCATCGACGATGAGGACGATCTGCCGAAGAGGTTGTCAAATTACCATTGACCAACCCCTCAATGACACATGCACTGCTTCGATAGAAGTATATAACCTAAACAACGGAGACTGGCAGCAGACCGTAAACCAGACACAAAACCCACTTTGCGGATTCATGAACGAATACTCGGCTATTATCTCTGACCTAGCCCAGTATGGGAATTTCCCCACCAAATGTCCTATTCAGCCCGGCGAGGTGGAGATCCGTCGTTACTACCCTAATAAATGCCTGTTACCAAGAGCCATGCCAGACGGCCAACTCATGTTTCAGATCAATATCAAGTGTGAGTATGACGGTGAAATGGTGACAGTACTTGAAGCAGAACTAGAAGAGAGGGTCGTTCCTGCAAGCAGTGGTGGTACACCCTCCCGCTGCTGATGCAATAGAAGCTATATGTATACTTTTGAGATAGCAGCCAGCACATCGAGGAAATATCTGTCTCTACCAGTCTTCCATGTACGTATACACAATATACATGCATATCGCAAGACGGACTCTTGAACTGTAGGGTCGAATCTGGACTGTACAGTCTGCGGACCATAAAAGTGATCAGGAAGATCACGCGTGCGTTATGTTATAGCAATCAAATGAATACTTCCATCACTCATTAAGAGCCAGAACCATACCAAAAAGGGAAATATTTACCAATGACTCATACTGTGCTACTGGTCGGGCCATTCAGACAGAATATAAAGTATCTGCACTAGCGCCTCGAGTCTTCTGGTCTGCGTACATTTTGCATGCGCATGGAACAGCCTACTGTTGAAAGAAACAACAGTGGCGCGGCTTTAGTTGTGTTGAATCCGCGCTCAGGGAGGTGACATATTACATATTACTGACTGGTGCACTATCGATGATATGTGTGTTGACAACACCAGTGAGCATGTACCCTGTAGTAATAGAAGCTCTACCGGTACATGGCATTTGAGCACAATATTGAGAGTATAATCAGTCTGGCCATAGTTCAAGAGATCTGGGCTGTGGAGTTTGTAACTCGGTCGAATACCGGCAATAACGGTGCTGGTAGTAGCAGTAGGAACGAAGATCATTGAAGAGCTATGGTCCGCCGAGATAGAAAATATAAACAATTTGTGCAGTGAACTGTGCTCTTGGGAAAGATATAGATGTAGTAGTTAAGTGTATCCAACCCATCCCAGACACTAGACAGACCGTCCATATCGACCAATGAAGGCCATTGGTTGTTTTCCACTTCCATAGCCCCAGTACTGCATTCCAGATCACCAACCTGACAATATGTCCGGAAGCCAATCGATGAACCGAAAATGACATGTTGTGTTTGTCTACAGGATAGACGGAGGAAAATGCCTCAACATAATACTGACTCACTCAGATATTGTCCATGTTAAACCCCAACAGTCCCTGTCCCACATCAAGTCTTATTGCGCAATCCGAACCCAATCACATAATATGCAATCAAGCCAACCTGCAAAGTCTGTTCCAGATCAATGTCTCAATTATCGTGCCAAGCAACAATCCCAACCCTCTCCCCACGGCTAAACTTAGAACCACGTTAATAAAACTTAAAAGCGGGGTAATAAGCCACCAACAAGAGACCCTGGGGGAAGGAACAAACAAGTTCATTTTCCTCGGGAAAAGAACAACAAAGTAAGCCTCACATAGCATGTGAAAGCTTCATTTCCAATGTAATTAAGCAATCAGACCACTGCGTTAGCTAAAATTACCAATGACCACCTGACCTGCACGAGCTCCACGGCCCAGAACCAGCTTAGTGCTGACCGAGACAGGTAGATAAGCGGCCTGAGCGACACGCTAATGTGTGCCTAATATGTATCCCGACATAATGGTCGGAATGGTTGGGCTCGGAGCTTGCCAAGTTAATTTAAGCTGTGGTTGCATTCGGGGTCTGATCACACGATAAATTGTGTTACCGAGGGAAGATGGAAAATGGAAGGGGGGAGTTGTTATCGTACAACATCACATTCAACATAGTAATCATAAGAAATGCCATCATAGCATGTCACATCACAGTCTACCCCCATTCTATAATATAATCTGAGTAAGATAAGAGATCAACACCTCCCCACCCCAGCCACCAAATCCCCCGCAACCACATCCACCCCCGCTGTATCCGCATCCTCTATCCCAAACGCCAAGAACATCACATCATCAAGATACCCATGATACTTCTGCCCAGCAGTCTTCCATCCGATTGACGTCACATACATCATCTCCGTCTGATTCCCCTCGTCCATAATCCCCCGTCCGTGAATCCACAAAGGCTTATCCGAAATCCCATAGGTTTCAAATGGCGCCCTCTGCCAGAATAGCATCACGTACGGTTCGTAGCTACTATGGAAACCCACGAATCGCTTATGCTGGAAGATCGTCAAGATGACTGTGTTCGAGTCACCCGGTTGGCAGTTCGGGTCCGCACGCATACACAGCGTCACAGCTAGCGAGTTGGTAGCTTGGTGGATGGATTCGTGGTCAGGGTCTTGCATCTGCGGTAGGTATTTCTGAAGACAGGCTGCGTCTGCGTTCGCTGCTGCGGGAGCGAGATCAGAGCCGACGGATCCGTCTAGGGTCAAAGCAGCGAAGGCTCTTGTGGGTGCCACATCGTAGTGAACATAGGCGTTGCCGGCTCGGTCCCAGAAGAGGAACCAGTTCTTTTCGACGGCGAAATACGGTTCTGTTGTCGGGCGCTGGAGCTCTGTGGCGCGACGGAAGCCATAGTCTGTGATGGTGTCGGAGGCAGGCCAGTCGACTAGGAGTCGAAAGTCGAGAATCCACTGGCCAAAGCAGGTCACGGCGGAATTGGAGCCGTAGATGGTGTACGGGGCGTCTGGGCCGTAGAAGACGCGGGCATCGTGAGGACCGATGCTGAGGGCGAAGAACGCGAGGCTTCCGGAGCAGAGGGCGTTGTTGCCCTCGGTTGCAGCAATGGGGAGGATAAACGGATAGTCGATACAGCGGAGAGTGCGACCTTTGTCTTGGAAGACGGCATCACAGACAAGTTCGACGAACCAGGCGCTGTCTTTGTCGCGACGACCGGGTTCATGGAGCTGCGCGGTGATGATCCAGGTGTTGGGCTTGGAGGGATGCGGGATGATGCTGGGGTTGATACCGCGTCGGGAGCGGAAGTCGATGCGGAAGTATCGGCCTTCCGGAGTCGAGTTGGATGTTATCTCATGGTGGGTGTCGGCGACGATTTGGCTAACGGTGCTGTCGGGGAGGGTTTTGAGGTCGTTGGTGGTGGCGGTCTCAAGGCCAAGGTCCAGATCAGGATGGGTGTCGACGTGAATGGCACGATAGAGATAGTAAAAGGTGCTAAGGAGGAGGATGAGAAGGGCCACTAAAGGCACGAAGCGCAGTATTCGGGAGAGCATGGTGGTGAAGCGGAGGGGAGGGGAGGGGTGTTGGTCGAGGGACCATCGCGCCCGCCGTTAATGTCTGCATGATGGGAGACTGCGATATCGCGATTAATTAGGGTTGCATCCGAGCCAGGCTCTCAGCTTACAGACAAAGAGCAGAAAGACGGCATCCCCCGCCTGTGAGTGGCGTGCCGATCCGGACGTATTGCTGTTTTCACTCGGGATTCAACATGTGATAAGCAAGTACAAAATAGCACGACTAGACAGGATGCACTAGTAGCAGCCCGTCTGGAAGCCACTGGATGCCGGCCAGGGCTCGGGTTGGAACTATTGCTTTTTAGTGGCGAGCCGGACTGTGTCTCTCGTCCCGAAGCGGCAACCCCACCGGTATCTCCCTGTCGCTTGGCCTCTCAGGGACCAACGAATCCACCAGGAAGGCAAATGGCAGATGGGTCTAAGATGAGCTTACGGCACACTAGTGAGAAAAGGCGACTACACCAAATCACCAACAGAAGAAGCAAAACTGAGACATTCATTTCGGAGATGCCTGGCAACTGCAGCATCAACTACGCGTCACTCGGCGATACAGCCATTGGGCCAATCGCACACTCGGTTCATCGATCAATTTGGTTACGATCTCCGCCAACCAAAAAGTCACCGGCAGCAGAATCAAATGAGTAGCCAGAAAGCTGACCTCCAACCCCAGAGGCCCCGTGCGGGGGAGCGGGAAGCGATCGATCCACCCGGGACAATTTGTGGCATGCGAATCGCGCACCCAACCCACCGCAGCATACAGCCGATCCCCAAGCACCCACAACACCGGTCCATGCACTAGATAGAAGGCGAAGGATATCCGCCCCAGATACTGGTTGAAGCGTAGCTCGAAAAATCTCTTCAGCCAGCCGATCCGCCCAATTGCCGTCACTATGAAGGTGGACGCCCAAAACAAATAAAACCACTTGTAGTCAAACACCGCTTGGGGCTTCAAGAAGGACAGGTAGTACCAGCCCGGAGAATCCCGCAGCGCCTGCAGGTCCCACGTGCGAGATGGTACGCCGCCCAAGTAGATGCTGACTGCAAAAAGGAAGTAGATGATCCCCTCCTGGAACGGCCCCAGCATCAAGAAAATGTCCGGAAGGTTGTCGCGTGCTGCAAGCAGGTCCAGATCGCAAAGCAGCATGCCGGAGATAAACAGCGCTCCGAACCACCCATCGGCAATGTAGAGAAAGTAGAAGATCAGTCCGGCCTCACCCGCCAGACGCATGTTCCGGCGAAGGCGGGAAAAGGCTAGCAAAGCCGTATAGACAATGATGGATCCGCGGAATTCGACGGGAATGGACCACGAGTGGAAGTTGTAGGTGAACCATGGCTCACCACCCCCGCGGAAAATGAAGCTGAAGTTCTTGAACTCAACATACCAGTTCCACACTTCTTCACCATAGGTGCCTTTTAATTCGGGAGTTGCGCGGACACGGAAGAGGTGAAGGAAGGTGAGATAGATGAATGTGGTGGCGATAACAGGAAGGTGAAGACGGAGCCATCGCCGGAACAGCGCGGAGGACAGATTGTCACCCAGCTGAAGATATTCACCCGCTTGGATCAGCGCCAGCGGTTTGGCGGATAGCACATAGCCCGATAGCACGAAAAAAACACTGACCGCGAAGTGCCCACCGGAAAAGAAGGTGCGAATTCCCGGAAACGCGACCAGGAAGTGTTGCTTCTCGTAGCCATACGCATTCTCAAAGATCCGCTCAGCGCCCATGCCATCGTGTGCCCATAATTCATGATGCCCCCAGTACACCAGGAAAGCCGCAAAACCGCGCAGCCCGTCTAAGTAGGCTGTTCGCCGGACTTTCCCCGTTGACGAAGTGCTGCTCCCACCCCAGGACAGGAAGGATGGTAGGAGCACGCTGAGCCAGCGGGCTTTGCTCTGGAGGTCCACCGAGAGGGGCAAAATGGACTTTTCACGATCTGGCGAGAGAGTGCGGACGGGCATAATGAAAGACAAGTCGGGCAAAACGCGTCGTCAAGACGGAGTCTCGCTGGCTGAAGATGAGGGGCGATATTTGAGGGAAAGACTGGTGACACTCAGAATGCCCAAAATCCCGAGCTGGCGTGTCCGATCGACAGATTGCAGAGCAGTAGTCAGCTTATCGAGTCTTGGCCCAGAAGCACATGCGTCGGACTCATTTCCCATCCGGACAGAGCTAGCAGACTAAGACCCGAGGTAGCATTGAGCAACCCCGGGCTCTGGCAAATGCGATCGACATGGGTGCGATATGTCTCGACCCAATCGCTCGACAGGCACACCGAGCGGGCTCCTCTCAGCCGGGCCCTCGTGAAGCTAAGAGCATTAGTGTCACGCAGGTGGGTGGAGCCCGTAATATAGCTTCGAAATGCAATGCCCTGAATTGCCCTGGTCAGGTCCGAATGGCGCTGATTTCTGGCCGCGCGTTGCGGGGAGAGCTGATCTGGTCAGACCGGCTCGCTCTGGCTCATAAACATTCTGGCCCTCAGCAGCGTGTGTTTTTTCTGCTCGTCCGCCGAACCCCTCGTCTCTCATCCCCCTCATGGGTCAGTTGGGCCAGTCCGTCACAATGCAGTTGAAGACTCCCATACCTGCCATGCCTGCCATGCCCGCCATGTCCGGTGTCTGTCTTCCACGACAGGTTCGCCGCGTGGTGCCGCTCTTCCTGGCAGTCTTCTGTCTAGTTTTCTATCTCTCCCTTACAGGAACCTTCGCCGAGTTTCACGGGGGCCTCGCGCGTCAGAGCAAGTGCAGGCTCTTCCCCCGCAAGATATGGCAGTCATGGAAGGTCAATCCCTTCGAGTTTGAAGAGCGTGACCTGAACGTGGCCCGTACCTGGACCTCCATTAACCCAGGCTACCGCTACGAGGTGCTGACCGATCAAAACGACCTACATTATGTCGAAACAAATTTCGGGCCTGACGGCCTCAATCGGCCGGACATTGTCGAGACCTACCGCTCTCTAACCGCGAAGATCATCAAGGCTGATCTACTCCGCTACCTGGTGATGTATGTGGACGGTGGAGTATACGCTGATATCGACGTCGAAGCCCTGCGGCCATTAGAGCGCTTCATCCCCGAACGCTTCAACGAAGCGGACATGGACCTGGTGATTGGTGTCGAGATTGACGAACCCGACTTCAATGACCATGCCATCCTGGGTCCCAAGTCACAATCTTTTTGCCAATGGACCTTTATCAGCAAACCGCGCCAACCAGTCATGATGCGGCTGGTGAACCGCATCCTTGAATGGCTGCACGATCACTCTGTCAAGCAGGGCAAGCCCATCTCCGACCTCGAACTTGACTTCGACGACATCATCAGTGGAACCGGTCCGTCCGCCTTTACGGAAGCTGTACTGGCCGAGATGAGCGCCCGCACTGGCCAGGAAGTGACATGGAAGACGTTCCACGACATCCCCGAGTCAAAGTTGGTGGGTGGTATCCTTGTGCTCACAGTGGAGGCCTTTGCTGCAGGCCAGGGTCACTCGGACTCGGGTAACCACAATGCGCGATCGGCGCTGGTCAAGCACCACTACCACGCGTCGGGGTGGCCCAACACCCATCCTCGCTTCAAGCACCCTCTCTATGGCGAAGTGGAACAGTGCAACTGGAATAAGCAATGTGTGGCGGACTGGGATGCCAACACAGCGGCTTTCGCGGCCCTATCACCAGAGGAGCAGGAGCAGCAGATCGCCATGAAACAGGCCGCTGATGCCGCCGAGGCCGAGATGGCCGTGGAAGATCTGGCGGGGGATGACGAAGACCTTGGGCTCGCCATCGGGTGAGGAAAAGAAAGCATGGGGAATAATTAGACGACTACTATCGATCTTGAAATGTCCGGGACGTGACAAACCCCTCTGGAGTAACGGTTGTTCGGGCGGTCGGAAGGGTATTTGATGTTCATTGATTTATGGCGTATGATGTATAATGGCTTAGAATTGATGCTATACAAAAGACCGAGCTTGTTTGTTATTTGGTTATTTGAAATAAAATTCATTGCTCGTGAGGTTGATTTCTATCATGCTTGTTGCTATTATCGTTCATCGTCAAGTTATTTTTAGCCTGCATGGCTTGGCATTTGCAGGCATTCCTCGTGCTCGACAGAAACTGCGACAAGTTACACGGACGCCTGCTCATTGCACTGCTCCGGAATACAAACTCCGGCTTCCCGTGAGATTGGGATCAGTGGCATCTCATAGGAGCCCTGTAGCATTGGAGGGGCTTGGCTTTGACAATCCTTATCTAGAGATGGAAAAGCCATTCGCGCGACCGCAATCAGACATAATGGCTCATCCTAGGTCGCAATTAGCAATTGCTTTTCCGATTACGCAGCTCCCTGAAGTTTCTGACGGGGTGCAGGATCTGCTGGTCGGAAAAAGAAAACATTGCATGCTGCCAAGACTGACGATTAGGGTGATGGGGCGACGGGATTCCCGATAACATTTATTGCTTGTTAGTCATAGTGGCTAGTATCAGATCCACATAATGCCAAAAACACCATAGCGGCAGACAAAACGACCACAGAATTAACTATTATCAACAATCGGTGAGTGATAGGAAAGATCCCATGCGCCGCCGGAATGTCGCCATCGCCTGGTGTGCTTTATCGACCCAATCACACCAATTCGACCTGCTGCGGTATCGCCAGCATAAAGTGATCGCCATTTCCCCCCGCCATTCAGCTTATGGTGGAGTTTTTACTTTTTCTCATCACATCGGCCTCAATTTTGAGAACCCACCATGGATGATATCCATAACACCCAAAAGGACCCAGATGTCTTCATCTCGCCCACCCTCGAACCAGGCCCTGCGCTCCCCAAAGTCGGAGATCGCACACCGCGTATCGTCCACGATGAAGAGGCCCAAAATCTACGCAAGGGGTTGCAAGAGCGCCATACCCAGATGATAGCCATCGCGGGTGCCATTGTAGGCCCTCCCCTTATTTCACAACGATTGGGAATGTCAATATTTGTACTACATACTGAATAAATCCCCAGGGAACCGGCCTCTTCCTTGGTCTAGGCAGCTCCATCCAGACTGGTGGCCCGCTCGGCGCCCTACTCGGCTATCTACTGATCGGCCTGGTGGTCTGCGCCGTGCAAATCGCCCTAGGTGAAGTGTCAGCCCTGATGCCCGTGACCGGCTCCTTTGTCCGGCACGTCGAGCTTCTCGTCGATCCGGCTCTCGGCTTCGCGATAGGTTGGAATGTCGTATACGGTTGCTTCATGTCCGTGCCCAGCGAGATCTCCGCGGCTGTCGTCCTAATTCAGTACTGGAATGACACCCTCAACCCCGCTATCTGGGTGACGATCCTGATCGTCATCTCGGCAATCGTCTCGCTGCTCTTTATCCGAGTCTACGGCGAAATAGAGTTCGTCTTCGCCATCCTGAAATCCCTCCTCATCATCGGCATCATCCTCATGGGCTTGGTGATCGACCTCGGCGGCGTCTCGGGTACTCCGCGACTCGGGTTTCATTACTGGAAAGACCCCGGCCCGTTTGTCGAATATATCGCCTCGGGACCGTGGGGCCGATTCCTCGGTTTCTGGGCCGTCACAACAAATGCCGTATATTCCTTTTCCGGAGTGGAAAGTCTGACCATCGCAGCAGCGGAGATGGCGAACCCGCGACAGAACATCCCCCGCGCATGTAAACGTGTCTTCGCGCGCGTTACTATTTTCTACTTTCTCGCTGTGCTGATCGTCGGGATGATAGTCCCTAGTAACGACCCCCGACTGGGCAGTGAATCCGGCACGGCAGCGCAGAGTCCATTTGTAATTGCTGCATCCGATGCAGGGATCAAAGTAGTACCGTCGATTATCAATGCCGTTGTGTTGACGTCTGCGTGGTCAGCATCCAATCAGAGTATTCTGGCTGGAACGCGCACGTTGTACGGCCTCGCGCTAAAGGGCCACGCCCCGGCGGTGTTCCTGCGCACGACAAGGCATGGTGTACCGTATGCTTGTGCAGTGGCGCAGATTGCTGTGTCCGCGTTGGCGTACCTTACGTGCCAGAATGAGGCGTATACGGTGTTTAATTGGTTGTTGGATTTGACGGCGGCTGGGGTGTTGATTTCGTGGGGCACGATTGCGCTGAATCATATCAGGTTGATGAGGGGGTTCAAGGCGCAGGGATTGGATACGGCGGAGATGCCGTGGCATCATTGGTGGTCTGGTGAGTGGTTTAATACCTTTACCGGGATGACTTGTGGCTGATGAAAGCAGTGTATACATCCTGGTTTGCTCTGGTTATGTGTGTGATTGTTCTGTTCACGGGTGGGTTCACGGTGTTTACTCATGGCAATTGGGATGCTTCGAGTTTTGTTTCGTCGTACTTGTGAGTTGCATCCTGTGTTACTGAATGACATTGTACTAACTGGGTGTAGGGACATCCCGCTCGTTCTGGCTTTCTATCTGGGCTATAAGTTCTGGAAGAAGACAGAAACGGTATCGAGTTACGAGATACCGCTGGAGCAGGCTCTTCTTGAGTGTCGCAACGACCCGGATAATATACCCATTCGGAGGAGCAAGTGGGCGAGGTGGAATATTTTGTGGGGCTAATAGATCTTGGGACGGAGCAGATACTTATAGGTAGGTCAAATAATCCCACAAAACTACTATATAAATAGACTGACACATGTCCCGCACCCAGGGAGAGGGGACATAGACGATCATTATATGACACATCATCTCAGGAGTACGCAAAAAGAAATGCAACGGCTGATTAAAAGACCAGTACCACGTGCTCTAGCAAAGCAGCATGCACCGGAGCTTAACATCTCCAGCTCACTCGCTGTCAGCTGCAATGTATGCATACAACGCAGTAGCCTCGTCATCACGCTTTCTGTCAAGTTCCGAGTCGGCCGCAATGTACGCATACAACGCGGTGGCTTCGTCATCACGTTTCCTGTCCAGCTCCGAGTCGGCCGCAATGTACGCATATAGCGCAGTGGCCTCGTCATCACGCTTCTTTTTGTCGTCGATCTCGGTGTCGGCGACAATATAAGCGTACAGTGCGGTGGCTTCGTTGTCTGCTCTCTCCTGAAGAGCATGGAAGTCCTCCGACCTGATGCGAAGGGTCACTGCTGCTGACGTGTGTCAGTCGCATAATTTCCTCTGTCAGTTATCAAATTTCCGGGGGTTGCATACGCTTCGCTGTCGGGGCAGACGTGGCCATGGGACTCAACAACAGTCCGTAGATGGCTGAGAGGAGGAGAGAATAATTCATTGTGGATTTGGTGCGCTTCCGGAAGTCTGCTGGGAACTTGAGGGTAGATTAAAAGATGCCTCAACGATCAGAAGAGCAGGAAGAGGGTGCCTATTTATGTGATCCTCGGGGCATCTGTCGTTCGACTTGCATCCCACGCCCGTCGCCCATGATCAAGCGGGGTGAAACAGCTACACAGCCAAGGTGTAGTATCCGCTCACACCAGTGTGACTGTAACAGCAGCAAGTATCTGCACCTGTTCCGATCAGGAAATAACGTAACAATTCCCTCAATGAAGGTAGTTGGATGGAATGTGCGGTGGCGACAGTTCACAAGCACTAATGCATACTTGACAGACGATGAAGCATCCTGATATTACCACGGGGGTGTTGCAAAGTTCAGCTGACCACAGTGAATGGAGCGAGGATATTTGACCTTCCTTGCACCGAAAGACAACTCTAATCTTTTGCCAATTCCTCTCCCTCAAATCTGACAGACGATGGTGAAAATGAAGCCTGCTGTATCTCCATCATACGAACCACTGGGGACCAGAGACAACGACGATGTGGTCTACAGTGTCTCCGGAGATACGCAAAGTGAGGACAATGTATCTCTCTTGAAGCAGACACCCCAGCGGCCTCGACACTCCAATAGACGGCTTCAATTGCTCCTCTGGCTCAATGCTACTGTTTTTGCGCTTTCAGTATTTCTCTTTGCCATGACTGTCAGCATCTTTCGGGGCACTGGCGACCCAAACCATCTCTTACGAAAGACCTCCGAGTACTGTGAGTGTGACTCGACTATGGCCGTCATCTCAGATTGCTGACTAGCTGCAGCCCCTGTGTTCGATCGCCTTGAGATACCCCTCATCAGCAAGAAAATGAATGCGACGCTACTGGAACCAGACCCCCTTCCCATCTACCGCCAACCCCCCAGCCCTGAGGTAGACGCAGCCTGGAACCGACTGGCGAACATTAACCCCATCGCCATCAGTCGCGATGACGTGGCCAAGTTGGGAAGGGATCCTGAGCAGGCAGCCAAATGGCCCGAGAGCTTTGGCTTTGGATCCGAGGCGTATATTGGACGACTGGATGTCTTCCACCAAATCCATTGTCTGGATTGGCTGCGGCGAGAAGCGTACTTTGACCACTACTATGGGAAGAAGTGGCCGCCGGGAACCCCTCCCTCTGACATGCATCGGACGCATATTTCCCACTGCACCTACCTGCTGCTCCAGAACCTGATGTGCAACGCTAATGTCGACATCTACACCCATTACTGGGCGGATGCGCAGCTGAACGCCTTCCCCGACTTCAACGTGAATCACAAATGTCGTGATTTTGATGCCATCTTGCGCTGGCAGGAGGAGAACTCGGTGGATGTGGATGAGTTTGCAGCCATTAGAAAACCCCCCGAAGCAGAGGCCCGGGTCATGTCGCATCGATTCAAGGAGTTGTTTGGTTGGTACAAGTCCAATCCGGATGATGGCTCGGACAGTGGGGTCATTGGTTGATCATAGCTAGCGTGGTCGAGTACTTGGATGGTAGTATCATGTTCATGATCGGCTGCTTATCCGCGGAAGGATGAGAGTGGGGTTAGGCTGTAAAAGGCGTGTGAGTTGTCAAGCGTTAGCCTAAGCATGCTGGATCTTCCATCCCTGCAGGCGCCACCAAGCATTTGATAAGACACTGTGTAGTTATTGATTGGCCAATTACACCCCGGAAATGTTATGGCGATGCACACCCCCTTGTGTGCATCCCAGTTTTCTAGCTGACATGTCAGTATCAGTTGGTCCTTCTAGGGGGACACAATGTGTGCTTCCAGAATAGGGATCCTGCGATGTAACCGCACCATGCACGAGACAACCTGTGCGTTTCACCCGATGCCATCGCGACACACGGGTGGGGTTTGATTTTCGGGGGTTCCTCATCCACTGCATCTTAGTTGGTATGTCTGACTTGAGCAATTTTTGAAGTGGGATGGTCTCCCCGTTGCCCTCCCTAACAACTGGAGATTGAGAGAAAAAACCGAACATGCCCACACAAACACGCTTCCTCTATAGTATACTAGCAACACTTATATTCCTCCTTTTCACAACTCTTGGTATCATATACACATCAACCGGCAGCTTAGCCAGTCTCTACCAAAAGTTCCACATACATGTTTGTCCAAGCGAGCCTCGATCTACACCTCAAATCATCCGAAGATTTCAATCATTGACTCCATTGATGGGCGTTAAACCCGATGGCTTTTTACCTGATGATATACATCGTTCATGGGAATCTCTTCTTCTCCCCGAAAACGGCGGGATTCTGAAGGTCCGGACGGATAACAACACCATTACCGACTACGGGATCTCCATGTTCCATCAGCTTCATTGCCTCACTGTTCTTCGGGGGCTGATTTTCCCTGAAACCTCTCAACATCATGGTGTTTCGACTTCGCCGTCACATTCTGGTGATGAGCATGAAGACGCAGTGCACTGGGCTCATTGTTTTGATTATATTGCCCAAGTAAGTTGAGTGATCCTTCTGGGCGCGGTAGAGCTCGAGAATACTAACGATGAAAAGTCCATAATTTGTGCAGCAGATGGTACTATTGAGCCACCTCATCCAGCGATTAATAAAGATGGGGATCGAATCCTCGTTATCGATGGGATTGGACATGCCCATCAATGCAGGGACCCGGAGCCGTTATGGAGGGCTGTTCGAGATAGTGGGAGCAATCCCGTTTATCTTTCTGAAGTGAAGGATACTGTTGGCCATAGTAAATTTCCTCTGAACGAGGAAGCTACGTGCCAGGGTGCTTGTTTGATGCCGGAGCCGTACCGGACCGGATGAGACAGTGGTTAAGGATTTGGTAGACAGATTATGGACATAGTGAACGAAGTGCTGTGAAATAACTGGGCGGCTATAAGTCGTACGTCAAGCTATGGGCTTCCATCTGGTAGATTGTGGGCTAGACACACTATGAACGATATGTTCGCGATTAGGGTGCGCTGACCTCTCGGCTTCACCGAAGTTGGGAATCCCGAGATAACTCTGGAAGGCTTTGGTCCTGTAGGCAAATTCCGGTCGCATATCTCAACCAAAGTAGAACTCGGACGCGATTACTCATGCAAGAGAAACTGAAAGCTTTTTACATTCAAGCTTATCCAGTGAGCGATTGTTAACAACAAAGCGTAAGCATAACAGGGGACAAAGAGAGCGCTTCAAGCCGCCTCCAGGCTGCCATGCGCTGACGCACCAAACCAGGGACCCTGGTCAGTCACGAGCCATTACAATCTCAATCTTATCACGCCCCTTGCCCTCCAATTTCTTCTCCTCACATCCTCATCACTGTGCATTACTTCCATCTCTCCCACTATCGCGAAGATTGCGTTGTTAAAATACTTCCATCTACCTCATCTACCACATTTGTATGCTTCCCTCCTCACATCTCCATGGCGGGTAGCTGCTCCCCCGCTGCAGATAACTCATTTGGACCGGTCGTCGCGTGTCCAGCAACATTTGACTTCACTCTGCTCTTCGAGCAAAGTATCCTCTCCATTGGCCCATCCGCCATCTTTCTCCTCCTGGTTCCATGGCGTATCTGGTCGCTCTATCCAGAGAATGTTAAAACTGTTGCAAATAACGCCCATTGGCGCAAAATAGTCAGTTGGACCCCTATGCAAATCTGCGACAATTTGCTACTAGCCAGACTTACCAAAGGAAGGTCGTTGCAGTTTGCCTCGTCGCTCTACAGATCGCCTCGGTGGTCGAATGGGCACGCCATGACTTAGTCCGGACTGCCATTCCTGCTGTCGCCTTGTCGCTGGTAGACGCTCTATCAATAGCTATTCTATCAAGCATTGAGCACCATCGCTCGGTACGCCCATCGTCGCTATTAAGCATATATCTCTTCTTTTCAACCATCTTCGATGCTGTGCAAATGCGCACATTATTCATTCGACATTACCCGGCCTCCCTCGGAGCTCTCTCCGCAGCAACTGTTGCACTGAAGTTTCTTTTGCTGGCTCTGGAAGCACAAAACAAACGCAGCTATCTTAAAGAACCGCTTCTTGCAACTTCGCCCGAGTCTACCAGTGGAGTATTTGCTCGCACCGTTTTCTGGTGGCTCAACCGTCTTTTCATTATAGGTTTTCGGAAGCTCTTGACGCTCGAGGATTTGTTCCCAACGGACAGCGATCTGGACTCGGGATGTCTAAGGCGCAAGATTAGAAGAGCCTGGAAAAAGTACCGGTCCAACCAAACACGTAGCCTAATTTTTGCGACCTTTACCAGTCTGCGTTGGGCAGTTCTTCGTACTATTTTCCCCAGGCTCTGCCTCATTGGGTTCAGCTATGCTCAGACATTCTTCATCCAGCGTGCAATGGAGCAGCTACATAAACCAGATACGCAATTAACCAGAAACGAAGGTTACGGATTGATTGGCGCGGCAGCGCTCATTTATGGTGGGATTGCAGTATGCAGCCATATCGCTTACTGGTCTTCTCAGACAGAGCTGACGGAGTTAGATATCAACGGTGCATTACAAACACCAATTATTTCGTATGATCACGATGTTCCGTGGCGCAGCAGTTGCCTTGATTTACGACCACACCATGGTTCTACCAGATGACACCCGCGATGAATCGGCTGCAGTTACGCTAATGAGTACTGACATTGACATGATCGCGCGGTCTCTAGAGCAAGCCAGCGAGCTGTGGGCCCGCGTGGTGGAGATCGCTATCGGTGTTTGGCTGCTAGAGCGGCAGCTCGCTGCTGTTTGTGTGGCCCCGATCCTCGTAATCCTGGGTAGGTCTTCTTCACTTGACCTATTTCTTTCACTAAATCATTATAGTATGCACATCGGTTCAGATGTATATGGCCACCTTCATGCCCGCCAGGCAGAAAGTCTGGGTTGGTGCAATCCAACGGCGAGTCAGCATAATCTCCTCGGCGCTGAAATCAATGAAGAGCGTCAAGATGCTCGGTTTGTCTGAAGTGCTCGCCAATACCCTTCAGGCGCAACGAGAGCGTGAATTAGATTTGTCCAGGGACTTCCGATGGTTGATCGTGTGGTTGAACGTGGTTTGTAGGTATTCCTGTTTTAGCCGGCGTCAACCCAAATCGACTGACAAAATAAAGCGAGTTTGCCTCAGATGTGTGCCTCTCTCATCACATTTGCGGCCTTCATTATACGCGCAAAGATTGATCACTCGGAGACACTATCAACCGTGCAAGCATTTACATCCCTTGCTATCATAAGCCTTATCACGAGCCCCGCGCTACAGTTACTGGCATCGATACCGGCCATAACTGCCGCTTTGGGTGCCTTTGACCGAATTCACAAGTTTCTCACTTCTCCCACAGACCACTCACCGGCTGAGAGAGGCCTGGGCACAGAGTCAGACCTTTCTACCAGAAATGGATCGGCGGTCGAACTGAAGGTCTTGGCACCAAAGGCCTCCGACCATGTTGTTCTTACCATGACGGACGCTTATATCCGTCCCGCTACTGGGTCCGCGTTCTCCCTTGAGGGTATTAGCCTAGCCATCAAGACGGGTACAGTAACAATGATTACTGGCCCGGTTGGGTGTGGGAAGTCGACTCTGTTAAAAGCGGCCGTAGGGGAGATACCATGTAGACAAGGAACGCTTACACGAACGCGGCCGGATGCTGCCTACTGCAGCCAAGTTCCCTGGCTCCAGAACACTTCCATCCGCAATAACATATGTGGTTATGCTGAGATAGACCATACTTGGTACAGTGAGGTACTAAGGGCATGTGCATTAGAAGAGGACATATCTCGAATGACAGAGCGTGATCAGTCTGTGGTCGGTAGCGGGGCTCTCAAGCTGAGTGGAGGACAGAAGCAGCGTCTGGTACATCACCCCAGACATATTACTGTCACGTCACTAACAAAACTATAGGCACTGGCTCGGGCTATCTACTCGAGGAAGAATCTTCTTGTGCTAGACGATGCACTAAGTGCCGTTGACAACAAGACCGCGCAGTATGTCGCAGAAGCTCTATTTGGCGATAATGGAATATGCCGGCGAGTAGGTGTGGCTGTGTTGATGGCAACTCATTCGGGTTGGTATTTCTTCCACGATAACGTCTGTGCCATAGCTAAATCATTTTCTCAGAGCACCATCTCCGCTTCGCAGATAACGTTGTCATATTAAACTCAGGCGGACATATCGAAAAGCAAGGCCCCAGGCGGAGCTTAGGCTTTGCCTCGCATGTAGATCCGAACACGGCGGATGCCACTTCAGAGACCCCGACTATCCTCACTGACAGCAGTGAGGAGACGTCTACAAAGAAAGTTGAAACACTGACTGTCGATGATATAGCTGATATCTCCCGCCGTATGGGTGATACTGCAGTCTACACCTACTACCTAAAGGCGATCGGATGGCGCCACACGTTGGTTGCCTGCACAATTATTATCGTACACACATTCTCCTCTGTGTTCCCTCGTATGTGCATTCCTCGCCGTGGGTTCGATTCGGCTAATGGTTTTGTAGAAATATGGTTGGAGTTATTTACGGATGACAATGGAAAGAAGGCCGCCCAGTTTATTGGCGTCTACGTCCTACTTGCTGTAGCCGCCTCAGGCTCGCAGGGACTAATGATATGGTGGGCTCTTGACATACCTTGCTTGTATGCTAGGCTAACCATCCACAGGCAAATCATGATCAAGATTGTTATCACGTCAGGGCTGGGACTACACAAGATCCTTGTCCGAACAGTGATAAATGCGCCGATGCATTTCTTCGCTGAGGTTGATTCCGGCGTCATCCTCAACAGATTCAGCCAGGACATGACACTTGTCGACGCTGTACTACCCACGATGGCGTTTGGCACGGTTCTGAGTACGTTCAGTTGATATTATCGTAACCCAACACTAATATTCCGCAGGTATCGCACAATGCTTCGCTCAAGTTGCCTTAATCTCGCTGGGCTCCAGCTACATGGCTTTGACGATTATTCCATGCTTACTGGTATTGTACTGCGCGCAAAAAGTTTATTTGCGGACATCCAGACAGCTCCGGTTCCTCGATCTGGAAGCCAAAAGCCCACTGTATACGATGTTTGTGGAGACTCTTGACGGTATTTCTACGATTCGCGGCCTTGGCTGGCAGCGGTCTTTTGTAGCAGAGTGCTTACGCCGGCTTGACGATTCGCAAAAGCCTTACTACCTTCTCTATTGCATCCAGCGGTGGCTTAATGTCGTTTTAGACCTTCTTGTTGCTTGCTTGGCTGTGATACTAATTGCACTGGCAACCTCATTACGAAGCTCGACCGATCCGGGAAAACTGGGGGTTTCTTTGACCGCAATCATGGCATTCAGCCAGACCCTGCAGGAAGTTGTGACGAGCTGGACGGGGCTGGAAACATCCCTTGGTGCAATTGCACGGACAAGATCTTTCGAGATGAAAACACCCTCTGAGCATCAACCCCAGAGACCAGTGATCCCTTCGTCGACTTGGCCTGTTGAAGGGAAAATTGAGATTATGTCTCTTTCTGACTCCTATGAGTATGTACCCTCACGCCAACAATAGAAGCAGTCACTAACGAACCCAACAGTGGCGTCACACGTGCATTGGACGATATCAATCTGACCATAAATCCTGGGGAAAAGGTGGTTATACGTGGACGAACTGGCAGGTGAGTACTGCAAACGTACGCTCTATACCTCCCACTAACATTGATCCAAGCGGGAAGAGCACACTGGTCTCGGCCCTTCTTCGACTCATCAATACCCAGGACGGCACGATTACAATTGACTGGATAGACATCTCCACCGTTCCACTAGGTGTACTCCGATCCCATATCTTCGCCATTCCCCAGGACCCTTTTCTACTCCCTGGATCCATCCGCTTCAACCTGGACCCGACTGGTCATTCTGCAGACTCGATTCTGCTTTCAGCATTAGAGAAGACTAACCTTCTTTCTCTTGTCACATCGCGTGGGGGGCTAGATGCGGAATTGGCATCGACCTCCCTATCCCAAGGCGAGCAAAGGCTGTTTGCATTAGCAGTCGCCCTGGTACGGAAATGGACTCGCGACAGTGATGGTCGCGATAGCGGCGGCATCTTGATTCTTGATGAAGCGACGAGTGGGACAGATGCTGTCACTGATGCGCTGATGCAGAAGGTTATCGGTGATGTGTTTGGTCGATTTACGGTTCTCCATGTGTCGCACCGGCCTGATAGTGTGAAGGGGGCAGATCGAGTTATTGAGATGGAAAATGGTCGTATCGTGAGGGACTATACCTCGGATTAGTGGCATAGCCAAATCGTTACTCTTCGTTTGATTCTTACTGCTATTCAACCAATGATAATCATTCAGGAGGTTCACAACCCTCTTGTGAATGCGTTCGAGGCCAGGATACTACCTACATCTCACAGACAAGCATACGCAGCCAGTCCTTCTGCCGATACCTGATCCGTGCAGTCGCCTATTTCCGCCCAGCGGGGACCCACTAGCGAGGCGCATGAGGGCGAGGAACAGACACCCGCGGATGCGCAGATTAAGTCGTATCTGAGTCAGCCGGTGGAGCAGAAGAGGAGAGATGTTGAGGATGTGGGGAGGGCGCCTTTGGGGGTGGAGGACTGGCAGTAAACAATCGGGGCTTGCTACAATGTAGTTGTGATTAGGTCTGGTGATGGCGGTGTTGCGACCGTGGAGACGTGGAATTGCTGCGGATAGGGAAGAAGTAGATCAACCATAGAGAAATCTTGTCAAACCTTACTCTCCTTGTTTGCTGTATCATCGGGAATTTAAAATATGGAGGATATTTACATTATCGCTTTGTCAGTGCAGTGCATACCTACTGTATCATTGTTCTGTGCTGTATGAAGTATCACGCTAGTCTTTTTCTGGTCATTTTGCTATGGTGTGATTGGGCTAATTCGGTATTGTACGGTACTACCAATACCATGAGATCAATCAGTGGTGGACACGTGCATCAGGGTAGTAGCAGAATACTGCGAAGTTCAATATCATCAAGAATTACAAGGTAATTGAACAATAATGAACTATCTGATTTGATTTATTATATTATATTCTCTGATCACGTTATGAGGTAGAATGATGCCGAATGAGTGCATCTAGTAGGACCTCAGTTTAGTACTCACGAGCTATATATATCCATGCCCAAAGGTATTATGCCTGATTCGACCTACAAGCTACATGATCAAATGGATGATCGCGCTATAGAAAAGAGTACACCATAAACAAAATAATAAATGAGGTAGACTATTTTCTTATTCATTGCAGCCACAAATCGGATTTATCATGTTGTTATCGAGTTATCCCTAGAGACATACTGCTTCCGCATCAACGAAAAAAAGCCATGGAAAGGTTACCTTTACCCTCCCTTGATAATGCTCTAAATCTCACCCATTCAACATCTCAAGGCAAGATGGCCGAGTTGGTCCAAGGCGTCAGGTTAAGGTCCACCTTAATACCCAGCTTCACAGCTTCCTGATCATCGTAAGATGGCGTGGGTTCGAATCCCACTCTTGTCATATATTTTTTCTTCCTGCACATCTTCCACTGTTGGACACCACTTGGATTAGTAGAGTCCTCCTGTTCGCTTTTTTTATTCCTAATTTTAACTTTAGTTTTAGATTTAATTTTGAATTAATTTCATTTTCCCCTTTTGTTCCAATTTCTACTATTGACCTTACCTAGCCTCGCATCGCCGGATGTCTAGTCCGAGCCTTACACGCAGGCTTCGGGAAAGTTTCTTTGTTCCCGTTTGACATTTCACGCCGCGATTTTGCGAGGGCTGCTGCGCTATTGCACCCGGTCCCGTCCTACCTTCAAAAGCAGTACGAAGTTCAGAAAAGCTCCGAGTAAAAGTCATTCTTATGCGGCATGCTCGCCTGATTAGCTTAAGTAGGGTATTGATAAGCACAGAACCCAGCGCTGCTGACTTTACATGATCCAGTCTTAATTTAGCCCAAGCCTCTTTGCGACAACATCCGGGTCAGCGGGCAACGCAGCATCTGGCGGCGGAGGATTCTTGCTTTTGAAATCGTCACAAACTTCCGCAAATGTGACAAACTCAACTCCCTCATGCTTCAGGAAGTATTGGATAAGCCTGGATAGGGTGTTAGTTATTAGTTATTCAAAGCTAGAGCATGCTTGGACCTCGGCTTAAGGCTTAGAAAGTTTCATTGCGTAAACATACCTTTCGTGCATTAACAATACTTGCGGACGCCCAGATACGTCCGGGTGGATAGTTATAGGGAATACAAACTCGTCATACTCCTGGTAATAGTAGTCGAATGTGTCGCGCCAGATATCTTCGACGTCACGCGGATTGACCCATCCATGGCTATTCGCTGAAGACTTAATGAACATCATGGGGGGTAGGTCATCAATATACCAGGTTCCCGGAATCTGCACCAAACCTGAAGGATTGCCCCTCACAAAAGGTTTCATCCATGTTTCAGCGTTCTTGGTATAGTCGATCTTGGTCCAGCTGTCATTAACACGCGTGTAGAAACACTGGCAGTCATGGTCACCCAGGCTGTGATCGTACTCGATGCCATAGTCCAGAAGAAGGTTGACGCCTTCTGTACTGACTTCCCACCTGTATTGCAAGCACCATGAGCCTTGACTTTTGACCGAACCGCACTGATGTCAGATACATACCAAGGCGTGACACTTCCACGCGGGGGCTTTCCGCAAAATTCCGTGAGGAGCCTGTAACTCTTGTCCAAAACATCCCGCTGTTGCTCATAAGTCATATCCTTTGGGTTCTCGTGGGAATAGCCGTGCAAGCCGATTTCGTGGCCATCGTCGCGAACAGCTGCCATGTCCTCGGGGAAGGTTTCCAAGGAGTGGCCTGGGATGAACCAAGTGGACTTGATGTTGTATTTCTTAAACAGCTTGAGCATTCGCTGAGTGCCAACTGTGCCGGCAAAGTAGCCTATACCATCATTTGTTAGCTGGATCTCGGTCAGTGGCAGGCTGTTGGGTCACTCACCGCGGCTAATGTCGCTGGTCGAATCCTCTCCACCGTATGATCCTAGCCATCCGGAGATGGCATCGACATCAACGCCGTAGGTAATCAATACGCGTTTCTTGCCCATAGTCGCGGCTGACGGTTATTGCAAATGATGAATCGAGAGATGCTGAAGCAGGCACTGCAACTCAACGGAACGGGAGATAATAGACAAGAGAAACAGTAAACTTATAGATCTGACCGTACCCTCTCAACTACGGCTCTATTTAGTGATATCTGATTTACATCAAAACTAGCCATATGGCTCTGCTGCCGATATGTTATGGCTTATCTTCACGATAAGACAGCACCCGCCCAAAATGGAAACTTGGGGTTGTGGAGAAAGTTGGAGAAGGATGACATCAGATAAGATAGTGACCGCGATCTTATCGTCATTGGCCTCAGGTGGTGCAGTGCTGACTTGTTGCGCGAATTGGTAGCATAAAACACCTCGCACCGTATCCTGCTTGTTAAGAATTGTACTCTTCGAATCATATGTGCAACAATGGCGCTTTCGCTGAAAGATAAGATAATCGTGATAACGGGTGCAGCAAGTGGAATCGGGTAAGTTCACGATCCCCAATACCTCCCTCTCACCTCTTCCGCTCGAAATTCAAGCTGACTAGCGCCTATGTCATCCATTTAGCCGGGCAGTGGCAGCGAAGCTAGATGCGTGTGGAGCAGTATTAGCTCTCTGCGATATTCAGGAAGATAAACTCCAAGATACCAAAACTCAGCTAACAGCTACTACACACGACACCTATCTGTGCGACGTGTCAACCAGCGCGGCATGCGAGGCGGTCGTCACAGCAGTTCATGAAAAGCATGGACACATTGATGGGGTTTTTAATTGTGCCGGCATTAACCCTAGCAACATAAGCCTTGAGGAGACTGACGATGCCTACATTGACAAGATAATCGGGGCGAACCTCATGGGGACTATGTACATGTCTCGTGCTTGCATTCCCCATCTAGCGCAGGGCGCGTCTATCTTGAATGTATCCAGCGACTGTGGGCTTCATGGCGCTGCGGGAATGTCTCTTTACTGTGCGGCTAAGTTTGACATTGTGGGCTTTACGAAGTCTCTAGCACTAGAGCTTGGCCGTCGGTCTATTCGCGTCAACGCCGTGGCGCCGGGTCCAATCGACACTCCAACGATGCTGGGAAATGTCATTGGTGGGGACTATAATGCTCAAGTGATGCAGCGGATAGGGCTAGGTCGCTTGGGTATGCCTGGGGAGGTCGCTAATGTGGTGGCTTTCCTCTTCAGCGAAGAGAGCAGCTTTGTGAATGGTGCAGTGATTGAAGTCCACGGGGGATTGTAGGTAATATTGTTGTTCCTCATGTGGGAGGCTATGTACATGCCTCGTATTATATTTTCTACGAATCTGGAGCTCAGAGCGTCCAATTCCAGGGCAGAACGTTCTTTTTAAACATATGAGTGGCAGGTGTACATACAGTTCGCGTGACATTATTTTATTCAGGTGATGAATCTTTGGGGATCAGCGAGCCGGGATGCATATTGGTCCAAACTCGCCCCCATCACACCCAAAATTGACCATGGACTATCATGCTTCAGAACCCTGCCCCAGATGGCCAGCACCGCAAGCGCCAGTAGTTTTCCATCCCAGTCCAAAGGGGACCTCTCCTGGTTCCAAACAAACACCTCTTGTGGGTTATCCACAGAGTCATACGCTTCAACCAAGTACTGTTTTATGCGGTGCAAGATATGATTCTCGCGATCTGGGAGTGATGGTTTTGCGTAAGCAGTGGTGCCGCTAAGGAGCAATGTTTCAAAGAGAATTCGGTTGTTTTGTGGGGTCGGCCATATCCTACCTGTTAAATGATATCCTTCTCGGGACTCTTGGAGCGACATAAGCCATTTGGAGAGGAAAACGGCGGACTCGAACCCAGCGAGCGCATGTCGAATAGCCGAAATATATTTATAGTTCTTCGCCAGGCTGTCTATGCCAATACCTATGGTGAAGCCTAAGGCGCTGGTGGCATAAGCGAGGGCAGAGACGATACTTGACCCGCGAGGTATTGGTGGGTATTTCAGCAATGTCATTGCTATCAGCGTTGGATCTCGAGTGGCTAATCCATGGTACGTGTTAAAGTCGATATGGATTCGGATATGTGCTAGGGCTAGCAGAGTACACGATATAAAACTGCTGAGATCGGAATTAGACTTGACAGATCTGTCCCAAAGCATTGACCAGATATCCAATCCACCCCTGAGATTGAACGGATTAGCCAAAAAGCCAATGGAGGGTGATGTCCCAAGGAAGCTTTGTCAGTTATTAACATACTTGAGACGATCGACTTCTGCACGTGGCAGGTCAGATTCTTCGGATATCAGCGGCGCAGACACTTCTCGAAGCAAATGTATTCTCTGGAAGAGCCCGTGTATAAGAGCATAACCACCGTCTGCTGTCATATGAAAATCCGGTATACACTGTCCCTTATGCCATTGTAAGATTGAAGATAAAGCATCGCGGTATAGAGGTTGGTGTCGTGAGCCAGGTGCCGCACGCAGGCGTGCCCAATCCTGTTCACTCGCGGCATGCCACAGCTTAGACATGCAAGGGAGCTGCAGGCCGATCCTACTACTAAAAAGCGCAGGAGGCAAGTTATAAGCGATACTAAGCGTCTCTAGCAAAACAAAGGTCACCAAGCAAAGGCGTCGGTGGCCCTCTTGCTTAACCCAGTGGAGCCAACTCGTGTCGATTCCATCAAATTCCGCGAGGCCCACAATATCGATGGAAGTTGTGATAACACCAACGAGGGTTGATATGTCACTGAAGACCGTTGGTGACTCCCACGGAGCATAGCCAAGAAGGACGACGGCAGTCTTCCAGTAGCAATATGCTTGATGTGGTGCGAAATGAAGCTTCTGTCTAGGAAATGCAGTGGACGGGAATTGGTTATCGAACATGGCTCTTCGCCGCAGAATGGTGATGGATGCCATGTAAAGATTCTGTGCATTTCTCTGCTCAAGGCACCATTGAGCACCAAGACTCGCAAGAGCCAAGACAAACTCGGCTGAAGACTCTTCAAGGTTGAGAGTGGGCTCGTGAATAAAGGCCAGGTGTTGGGTCCAGCCGTCAAAGTAGCTCTTCACGTACCGATTCAACCTAGACTGTGAGGGAATGTTGAACCCAGGGAGGACGATCCTATATTCCGATAGCAGGTCGTTCAGCCTTTGATATAAATGCGGAGTAACTAGATCTCTACTCGTAGCTGAGAATCCTAGCGTTAGAATCAAGCCATGATGTAGTAAATGTGATTCGCATTCTTGGTTCCTTTCTTTTCTTTTGTTTTTTCTTTTCTTTTTTTTTGTGGACGGACGAAGCCAGCTTACCAGTATTGACCAAAGCCTCAGTTTTTTGCCCCAGGCTAGGATCCATGGAAATATGAGCGTTTGAGGGGTCCCCGCATTGAGCAGGTTCAGATAATTGTGGACCAATGTCGTAGCTCAGATTCAAGGGACTCCTCCAGTCACTGTTGTCAAATTCGAACTGCATATTAGGCATCTCCCACAACTGCGCCAAATCCGTCAAAGTAGGAGAGTTGATCGCATCAAGAGCGCTAGTTTCACCTCCCTCATCGACTGCCTCTAAAGCGAAGTCGTGTGAATGGCTTATGTCAGGATCAGCAGGCATATTCAAGGATCGAGACTGCCTTTCACCAGGGTCCCTAGCCACCACGGAAGCCGCATTTGAACGATTTTCTGCTCTGCGGGCACTACCTCCAGGTGTCTGTACGATTTTGGTGCCCTGAGGGATTCTAACCTCGGGTAAGAGCTTACTGTCAGCGGCTTGACGATGTACTTGTTCTGTTTGAGAGGAGTGTTGGGTCATGGTCAAGTGTCGCTTCAAGAGATCTCTGCGGGTGAAAGACAATCCACAGGAACATGTATACGGCCTTTCTTTGGTATCTATAAAGTTGTAAGCAAAAGAACTAGACATCTATAGTAAAGCGAACATACGTGTTCGCACATGTCGTCTCAGGTGTTCTACTCGACGGAACTGCCTCCGGCACTGTTGACATGTGTGTGGTCTCTCCGCTTCATCTTGTTGGTCTGCGCTAAAAGTGATGCAGCCAAAGTTTTCTGACATGTTTCATAAGGATGCACAGCGTTCACACAGTAGGCAGAATACTTTCTATCGAGATATGGGCGCAAGGCAAGGTTTATTTCCTAACAGACTTTGAGTTTGCGCTGAGGCTTCGGAAAGAAGCAGGATTGCGAAATATACCGGGAGAGTCTTGCGCCTCCGGCTTCCGTAACTGATAAGCTCGCAGCGCAGCCAACCGGGCCTGATAAGATAAAGAGAGGTGCCCTTTAACGACAGACTAAACCCTTCATATTACTAATAGAATTACAGATTACCAAACTTTAACGTACTTGCATCATCATCCGTTGAAGAGCACGCCTAGCCTCTACTCGCCCATATACCGCTATCTGGTGCGACTCGTGCGATAACAGAATTGAGCATTCCGCCAAGCACTTTGAGAACGGCGACTGCGCAAAATCAGTTAGAAGGCAATACTCCCCAAGTGGCGAAGGGATCTGATGAAATGCATACAGATGGTGAATGACCAGCCAATACCAATGGCATTGATCATAGGAACAACAGCTGCCGTAGCGCATGCTCCAAAGATGTACTGTAGGATATACTTGCTGCACACAACCTCAGACCGTTCAGAGGGAATGATCTCTGGTACCAGTCAGGCTTCGGAATCGGCCAGCAGGGACAAAATAGGAAGGCAAACCGGCAGAGTAGGTGTTCAAACCGTTCCAGGCACCCATGAGCCCGGCACCAATCAGCAAGGAGAGAACGACAGGAAGAGCCAAGCCGCCAAATTCTCTTTGTAGGCACCATCCGTAAAGAAGCATAGATGCAGGTAAGACTAGAAATAAGTATGGTAACCCACCATTGAGTCTATCCTTGGGCAGGCGGATTCCATTGCGTTTCGCGATGTACCGCTTCACTGTATGGTCGGAAAAGCGTCCTCCAACCAGGCTGCCAAGTATAAAGCCCACCCCAGGGGAGATATAGAAAAGCCCGCTCACCAAAGGAGTGTCGAAATTGAAGCGTGGGTTGATAACGTTCCGGACAGAGGTCAAGAGGCCGTACTGGGTAACGGCTAGGAAACCGCATGATAAGTCTGTAAGGAACACCTGAGGAAGCAGGTAGAGCTTGAATACTTTGATCGGGTTGAATGCTCGGAGAACGTAGCGTAGCGAGATGTGGCTCTCTCTCCCTTCTTCATGTAGTTGCTTGACCTCGCTCTTGATGTTGGGGATAGCGGTTATGGAGAGTGCAGACCCAAGCCCAGCCATAGCCACCTGGAGCCAGTATATATCACGCCAGTGGCTGAATGTAACGACGATGCCACTAACACAAGGGCCTGTGACAGACGTTAGCAAAGAACGATGTGGTTGGTATACGCGGAGCGGTATTATGGTATCTCACCTAACGCAGTGCCCGCGACACTTCCAACCTGTAGACAACCAACGGCTCGACCTCGGAAGACGGGCTCAAATAAGTCTGCTATTATCGTCTGTCCAGAAACCATGAAATAGGTTCCTGTTAGGCCCGACAAGACTCTCATTAGAGTGAAGACGCTCATACTTGGAGCCAGGGCCGTCCCTATAGAGGCAAGGAAGATGACTATCGTGGCGGTATCATAGCTTCGTTTCCGACTCAATATTTTAGCCACCGGGGACCAGATCAGAGAGGAGCAGCCCATGGCAACTAGAACGCCAGCGTTGGTGATATTTATTGTCTCTGGGGTCGTGTTGAGGTCCGCGGAGATCTCGGGGGTCGCCACCAGCAGAGAGGTACTTAAGAATGTAACGACCAAGGAATTCCAACTGATGATGAAGAGAATCAAATATTTTCGTTTGCTCCCAGGCTGCTGTGCCTCTGAGACGTCTGCTAAAGTATGTTCCGCTTGATCGAGCTCCATGCATGAGCTTGGAGCGTGCTCCCGTATTGAAGACAACGCCATTTCGCACATGTTGTTGGATTGAGATGACCTTTCACAGAGATAGCTAGGTAAATAGCTTGGTGCGTTAGAAGAGCATATTTGATAAAATTGTAGCAGGCTCATTATTTGACGAGTCAAAAGTACTAGCCTTGAGACTGCACTGCAAGGATCAGGGCTAAACCCTGGTCTTATCTTGCAATAGATATTACCTTTCATGGCTGCTTGCCTCCAAATTCCTGGAACAGGTTAAAGAGAGCTCCATGCTCTTCGCTCCTACCCACAATCGGGCCTCTTACTGTAGGGTGCCCAGATCCACTTTACCGGACCTAACTTAGCTTGACTGGGTCAAGACTACCACAAGAGCGTTACACTCTCAACCTCCTATAATCCTTGGGCGCTGGTTAAAATGATCATTTACAGAATTTTTCAACATTTCTATAATTCCATGTTCATCGTATACTAACCAAGACCAGAGTCGTGGAAGAGCTGATAACGCTCGTTGCAAGTCTCTTGCATTCAGGCGCACAGTTGCGCGTGAGTTAGACACTAATACAACCCATTGTCTTGCTGCGTGATTCACCGCTGTCTTGCAAATATTATACTCTATCTAGCCTACTTAAGATTTTTCAGGATGAAATACACCTCGTCATCTGCGGCTTCCAGAATGTGTCGAGGCTGATATTGAGGCCGCCAGCCGAGCTCCTTACCATGCTCAGCGGTGTACGTTGACCTTGAATTTCGATGATCATTAGGAAGTAGATTGGACGTATGGCTTATTGGTGACTTACAGTCCTGCTATCCTCGCGCCCACAAAGGACTTGTATGTTCCAAGAGCAGAAGCCATTTTCTCCAAGGCTACATTGTCGGCTTGAACAACAGTCGCGTCTTCAATAATGGAACGTTTGGCCAGGGCAACAGCTATTGCATTGTAGACATCATGCCATGCGACGCGGCCGGATGATGCGAGGTAGTAGCCGTTCTTTCCATACCCTGGGTCCTTGCCGTCCAAGATTGACAAAAGAATGTGAATATAAAGATTGACAGTGTCTGTAATATGGCAAACAGGCCATTCCTTTTGCGATAGTGAGTGCCCTGGTATTTCGGTGGGCATGTTGTAGGCCACTTACATTTCGTTCTGCCTCAACTTTGTAGACCCTACCAGCCCCTTTCGCCGCCCGGACAATGTCAACAACTTGGATGGATATCAGATTTCCAAACCCTTCGCCCTTCCCATCTAGCACAATCTAGATTAGTCATTATTCTCAAGGTCTTAAACTTTTCTCTTCCCCCCCCCTTTTTTCTTCGGGGCGCCGTTGCGGGATCTTTATACTCACAAACCATACAGGGTGAAAAGATATACGTTTTCACACCGTGCTCTTCTCCTTTGTCAATAACATCACAGTTCACTTTGACAGACTAGTCAATGTCAGTGGCAAAGTACAGTATCCGCCCGAAGCCAGGCTGAGTACTTACAGTTTGAGCCCAGTGATGTTCACTGCGCTGAGCCTTTTGGATATCATACAGATCAGGCTGAGTATCAAGCAGAGGTCGATCGGTTGGAGCACCGCAGTAACTTCCAAACTGCTTTGTACCCGTGGTCTAAACATACCCCAGATGTTGATTTAGTCAAAATTCAATGAATGATAGTGTACTTCTTAGTAGGGGACGCACGAAAATAAAGTGAGTCTGTTGTCCAGTGATCTTTTTGGACTCGGCAAGGGCTTGAATGAAAAATCCTTGGTTATCAAATTGGTCGCAACCGATCAGGTAATAGACTACGGTGACCATGTTTTTGACAATTCCCTCATGTATGGCTGCTTGGTCATGGACATTGAACTTCAGCGGTTCGACGCCATAACGTCGGCAAGCATCTGCGTGCGCGTCGCTCCTAACGAGGGCAAATGTCTTGTTAACACCGCTCAACTGCAGAGTTGACAGCCGCGCGAGAAGAGAACCACCAAGGTAACCCGAGGCTCCGGTGATAAGGACGTTGTGAGACATTTTGCATGTAAGGGAAATGGAAGAATTGTTCTTGCTCAATAGAGTCCAGGCTCAATTCCTGCATCACTTGTATGGAGGCCAGCCATGCCTTTTGTTCGAGGAAGATTTGTCAGCATGAGCCCACGTCTCACAGGTTCCCCGTTTCCTTATGCCCCACCCCCTTCTCCAAATTTCCTATTTTGAACACAAGATGGTGTCTGCTCCCCAGTTCTCCCTTTTTGGCTATCGACAGTGTTCTGACGACTATTATCCATCGTACATTATGTGCCGATATCGGTTCGATGGCAATGCCGCAGTCATGGCTTGGAGTCCCCGCACAGCATACCCAGTCCTCAGCCGCCTCAGAAACCGTATCACAGCTTCGAGTTCCTCAGGTATAGTAGTCCCCGTTGTGGAAAAATTTTGTGGTGGAATTTCGTCACTCCCTGACTTTCGCATAGATTCCCTAGGTCCTCGGGGGGTTCGAAATCAACCTACCGAATTCAATAGCGCAGGTTTCCCCTTCCCCCATGTCGACAATAACCCTAGAACTTCCCGGCGTCGCCTTGGTCACGGGAGCTGGCGGAGGTATCGGTGCGTCAATCGCAGAGGCATTTGCGCGAGCAGGCTGCCACCGCATTGTTATTACAGACATCAATCCCACTATGCTTGATGCAACAAAACAAGCTATTCTCGAAACTTACCAAGGCCAGGTTCTGGCTCTCTCTGGTGACATTTCAGACGAGACCTTTGTTGACCAGTTGATCGGAGAGACCGCAAACACATTCGGCCGCCTTGACTATGTGGTTAACTGTGCTGGAATACTCGGAGGGGACCTTCGTGCCACGGAGACCTCAGTTTCCACTTTCGATCAGATTACTAGAGTGAATTATCGGAGCGTATGGCTCTGTTCGCGAGCTGCGTTTGCCCAGATGCTCAGGCAAGAGACGCTCCCTCAACACCCGGACCAGAGAGGTGCTGTCGTGAACATCGCCAGCCAACTGGGTTTAGTGGCGCGTGCCGGCGCTGGTACGTACTCATCGAAAAGAGAGTCTGTTCCAAGAAGAATACTAATAGTTATTGTGATACAATAGCCCCATACTGTGGTTCAAAAGCGGCAGTCATCCACATGACCCGAGCAGATGCCATAGATTATTCCCGGGACTCAATCCGTGTCAACTGCATATGCCCGGGGGTGATCGCCACATCGATGGCCATGGGCTCCTCGGACCGGGCGGAACGGTTCAAGCCAGCAGTTGATATTGCCCCAATGAAGCGGATGGGTACGCCTGATGAGGTTGCAAATGCTGTTCTCTTTCTTTGCTCTCCTCTTTCATCATTCGTACAGGGCCATGCTCTTGTCGTTGACGGAGGGTACACTATCAATTAGAACGGTCTCGAAAAGGAAGAGACCAGACGCCTTCTAGATTCAAGAGCTACAATAGATTAGAGAGCGGCAAGCTTCATGTGAGTACGCCGGGAGTCGAAGACCCGTTCGGTATTTTGCATTAGCAACATCGGCTGAAAGCATGGGGAGGGAAGGGTGTGGAGAAGAGAAAAAAAATCCTTTCAAAACATGCAACCGTTCATAACAAGGACAATATGTGTATAAGGATGCGATATCTAAGACATGGACTCATAATCACGGATCTTGTACCAAAAATCATGGAGAAGGTAATCGGAATATTCGCTTGTTCTGGGGGAATTAGAAGTCCTTTTACCTAAATAGAACATTACCCTCGGTATCTAACCACCTTTCTTTCCTTCTATTACTGTTTGAAGGCTTATAAAGCTGAAAACGATGCATTTAGCTATCTGAGGCTTGAGGAGAAGAACTCTCAAAGAAAGGGAGATGCCGGAAGCTACTCGAGAAACAATCGCAAATGAGGCGCCAAGCCCTTAGGATTAGACAAAGACCCCGGGCTGTCAACAATTACCCCTACACTTAGATGGAAAAACACTCGTTCCTTGTGTGTCCAGTTGACCTTCAAGTTGAGTTAGAGTTGTCGGCGCAAGAGAACACAGAGCCTGAAAGCAGAAGAGTTAATCTAAATAGTCTTGGCAAGGAGCTCCAGCTCGACTCACTTATTTGGCCAGTTGCATACGCGTCTTTGATCTGCAAGCATACGGCGTAAGTCCCCGCTACGGTGATGAAGAGTCCAAAGGGTATAAAGAAGGCGTGGAACGCGTAGATGACCTTTTTCCGTAAAGAATTGCACCGGTAATGGCCGTGATCGTATAGCCATAGATAAGCCGGAAAAATAATCGCGACCGGCCCGAACACAATGGCCCCTAGAAGAGCTAGGAGATAATTGAAGATTGGAATGGCCTCAGCTAGAACAAAGCCAACGGCTACGATGCTAAACGTGCAGCCTAGCCAAGTGGTCCAATGGATTATTGTGTTGTCCTGCAGGTGCCTCGAGTTGCGTAGAATGCGCACAAACGCGTATTTTGCACCAATCTTAGAGCTGTCAGTGTGGTCCCGTCACACATATCTGTTCGACGAGTAAAGACTTACGTGGGTGTAGAGACAGCCGGTAACAATCAGACCAAGCAGACCGACTCCGTAGGAAATCATTTTGATCGTTTGTCCTGCAGACTATAGAAGGCATCAGCGGAACCTTTTAACAGGTTTGGGGCAGAGGGGCACAAGACTCACACCTAGAGACGGGCTTGCTACCCATTGCCCACAGTAACGATAGACGACAAGGCCAAAGACAAAGTACAGCACGGTAAGGGTGGTCATTGATGTGTACACGGCCTTGTTGTAATCCTTGGGGCTTTTCATCTCAGAAATGACTGGAATAAAGGCTCCAGTGTTGGAGCTGGAGACGAAAATAGTGCACGAGGCGACCATCCCTTCAGCGAAGCTAGGTGCTGGAACCGGAAAAGCGTGGAATCCCAGTTCGAATGGGCCTCTCTGGGGCGCGGCCGCCGGGCGATCCGGAATAGTAACAGCGATCACGACGATAAGCACTGCGCTGAAGACTGACGCAAAACCGGCCCATGTGAGAAAGGTCAAGTTCTCCAGCTTTCGAATGGAGGCGCAGAACGCGATGAGGGTCGCTGCAATCAGCGCCCACCACACTGTGCATGCCGCGTGAAGTGATAAAGCATTCAGAGCGGTTGACGTAGCAATTATTGCTGAGCCAGCGCAAAGCACATTGGCGAAGATGAACAGCAATCCAATGGCCTCCTTGAGAATCCGACCGCCAACAACTTCCGCCAGGTCTGCAATACTGTGACAACCCCCATGTTTGGCCCGGAAGTCTCCCATGATAATGGCAGTGTACTGGGTCCAGGCGCACCAGCTTATGATGCTCAAGCTGCCGCCTACTGCCCCCAGAGTATGCATAGCCGTGGGAATAGACAGAACCCCTGTAGAAAACTGAATCTTCAAAAAGAGGACGGCGACTATCGGCCATGTAAGGGTGCGGAAATTGACGCTATTTTGCCCATCTCGAGTTTGAAAGATCTCGGTATTCTCTATCGTGCCCAGCTCCTTGTCATAGATGGAAGACTCTCCCGCCTGGTCGGCAGCCTTGACGCTTTCTTTGGGCCTTGTGATATCGTGCATCCTGACTGAACATGAATGACGAAGTATTTGGTCTGGCCTTAAAGTCACTGGAGGACATCCTGAGACGATATTTATGTTGATTGAGAGGAGCTGTTGAGTCGTCGCAGTTACCACGATAAGGACGAACCTCTTCATAATCCTTATCAACCTGAAACTGTGGCAAAGCATAATTCGCGAGGCATGATAGCGATTATCTAGTAACTCCAGACCCCAATTTTCCTAATCTGTCAGGGCTACCACCAACCTCTCTGTATCAAGGGTGCTCCTATTTCCGTTGATGTGTCTATAGGCGTGGTCATATCTTTTAGTGCAAGGTAGGCTGGGATACAGAATTGAGAGGGGTTTTGATTAAGCGTCCTTCTTCGTCCAACAATACTCAGATTTTGGTCTAGTTATCCACTAACTCTCTCCCTAGCTCAAACAGCGCTGCAGCACGGAGTATCTTTTCTTCGCCCCAGCGCCTTGAAATGATCTGCATTCCGAAAGGGAGTCTCGGGTCGGCACCTCCAAAGCCGCAAGGAACACTCATAGCTGGGTGGCCAGTCACGTTAAACGGGCACGTATTTGCTACAATCCCGACAGCTGCCTTCACCCTCTCCGTAAGACCGCTCGGATGTGGAAAAGCCACTGTTGGAGTGGTTGGTGTGATAAGTACGTCAAATTTGTCAAGGGCATCATCGTAGGCCCTTCTCAGCTCAAACACCTTACGATGGGACTTGGCTACCAGCTGCGCGGGGCAGCTCTCCTTGAGATAAGTGGCCGAGAATATCAGGTTCATGATGCTAGGATTCTTGTCAGTCAGCAGGTCGTGCATTCCCTGATCAGGAGGCCACCGAAATTCGATATGCGGCGGCACGTAAGAGAGAAAACCTGGCATCAGCGATTGGCATCCCCAATCGCTCATAGACACTCTGGTGGCAGCTGTCCAGATTGCCGGGCCTTGAGCATGTAATGGCACAGAAACCTCGGATACAGTCGCGCCAACTGCTCTAAAAAATTCGCACGCCGCATTATAAACGCCCGTGCGAACCTCGTCCGACATGCTAGGGATCTCAAATGCCTCTTTCAAAATCCCGACTCGAAGTTTAGAGCCTTGATCGGCTTGAACTTCGTCCAGAATAGCAGGGTAATCTGGAACAGCGCTACGCAGCGGCGACTCAGGTGTCATGCGCGGATCATATCCATCGTAACCAGCCAGTACATGGAGTAGGACGGCAATGTCTTTCACCGAGGTAGCCATAGGGCCCAAGTGATCGATCATAGGGGTCAAAGTCATTGCTCCGGTGTATGGAACGAGGCCATGTGTTGGCTTCAGCCCGTAAACCCCGTTATAGGAGGCGGGGATCCGAATCGAACCGCCTTGGTCACTACCGATTGCCAGGTCCGCCCTATCGCCGAAATTCGACTGACTTGGATCGATAACATTCATGCCCATCAGGCTTCCACAACCACTGCTGCTTCCTCCGCTGGTATAGCCATATGCCCAAGGATTGTGCACAGGACCGCTCGCAGATGTTGAAGAGATGGGTGCAGCCGAATACATTTCGCAAGTAGCGGTTCCCATGATAAGCCCTCCAGCTTCCAGTACGCGCTTCACGACTGTCGCATCAATGGGCGAAATTGGAAATTGAGCGTCCCTAGAGACCAAAGTCGCGAATGCTCCAACAGTAGTGGGGAGTCCCCCCACGCTGATGTTATCCTTGACCGCAATTTTTCGACCTTCCAGCAATGATGATGTCGGCTGGGCAGCGCGAATACAGGTTCGATGGCTCCATGCGTTGTGGGTGTTGGCTTGTGGATCAGGTCTCCAAAATAGACGATCCTCGCTAGTGGCAATAGGTTGGAGGTTTGGCTCGCTGAAGTCAGGTAGGTCCTGAACTTCACGATGGACAGCCTCTGCCGACTGCAGGAGGAGGAGATAGGCGGCTTCCTCCTCTTCTGACTTGAACGAAATATTCCATCTTCGGGCCAGATTTCGTAGATATTCTGCTGTCAAAGCAGACCTAGAGACATGGAAGGAATCAGTGATCGAGCTTGGATCAGCAGACCATATGGATAGATATCTTACGTATAACCGAGCGGGAGGGACACGGTCGACATTATGGACGATGGGAAATTCGGTGCCGTAAACAAATCGAAGCTTCCTTCAATTCCAGAGGGTGCCTTGCCTGCGCGAACAGACCAATATAACACACTTTATAGTAAGAAAATCAAAATGACGACACTGGAATCTCTGATAAAGAGCCTTCTAGGGACGTGGGTCGAAACTTGTCTGCAATTTCAATTGGTGGGGAGAGGCAGACAAATCTCGAGTTCTTATGCCAGGTTGATCTCAGCCTATTGAGTCACAGGGATTCTGGGCAAAATTGAAGTCCCAGAGGCCCAAAGAGACCCTTCAGTCCCCACTGGAGTAACTGATAAGCTGCCGAAATCTATGTAGACGCTAACACCTCCCTCTATCTACCCCAATTCCTGCTTGTGGACTCTGAGTCCCCGACGACCCCAAAGCCTTAACCTCGCCCCATTCTCCAATTGTAAGACTTAGGCCAAGTGCAACGCAACACCCGATAAGCCGAATAGAAACATCCAAAAATGCAGTTAGCTAACCTCTCTGGCTAAATTGATGGCTTCCGTCGGACGATCCAATACATCTGTTACTTCTATTCTTGTGAGGACTTCCGCAACCGGCTATCAAAGTAAGCAAGGGACTCCCTCGCTCCTTTCGTTTACTGGCGGTCTTGGCATCCCAATCGAACTCGCCTATGTGGATTACAATTGAGCGTGAATGTCCTTGATGAGTATTCGAGGCATTGTTGGTGGTAGGATACTCAATATCACAAAGTATTGCAACGGCCTTACTAGAAGGCCTACGATCAAGTGTCGGAGATAAAGTTAATGAGGCATGTACATTCCAGGAACAATTAATTATATCTCAGGATCAGGATCGAGTATTTCCTACGCCGCAAACCACACGACCAATTTGGCCTAAACTGCGGCATATCCGCGGATATCAAATAGCAAAACTTATCCAAATCCAACCATGCGGATACGATATGGATATCTTATTGCTAGATTAACCCCAATCTAGCCGTGGTTGCAGGTCGCACGGACCCGTTCTTGGGTCACGCGACCCCAAATTGCTCAAATAGGCAGTTTAAGTCATGTGACAGTTGCGCGACCTCAAACACGCTAACAGAAATCTCTCTCAAAACCCTTACAAACTGCTTTACAGTGGCAGCTCTCCTTAAAACATGCATGTTTCTTCTACTATCAATGACTAAAGAGCTGTAGTGCGCTTATCAAACTTTCTATAGTCGTTAGATACTGGTCCCATCCTACTTTGCTATAACAAGTTCCTTAATATATACTAACGCTAGTAATAGTAATACTAATAGTAATAGAACTCCTGATAGATATCACTTCCTCCTTTCCGAGGCCTCGTGAAAGTAGCAATAGTAGCATCGCGGCGACAAAGCAATTTAGGCTAGTTCAATCGAATGTGTTGCATCACATGGTTAGGGCGCCGAATCATATTGAGATTGACTGGGACAACTGAAGTACATATATATATATATATCAAAGAGCTCCGAGCGGCTAGTACTCTTGTCAGGACTGGCATTGCTCTAGACACATAGTATGGTTGACATAAATTCATATCCATATCATTTTGGACTGTGTACATTGAATGCAATATTTAACAGCATTCGGATATTCCATCACGTGTATTAAGTTGCAAATAACTTTATCTGTACCACCTTTGCTTCTTTGGATGATTTTTGCCAGAATAATTTTGTGTTCCTGCGCTATCCTTTCGGCGTGTGACACAGCTTCTTTTCTTCAATCCCTTGTCTTTGTACGGTTCGAACATGCATGATATATCGGAAAGGAAAGAAAGCAAGTGTCGCAAGATGGGATACTAATAAACTATAATGCGTTCATGAAAATACGAAATCCTTCTTGCTGTGAACCTTAATGTGTTATTTCATGGCATTTTGTGCACGCAACTACTCGGCGCTTGCTTGATCTTCCAGCAAATCCAAAAACTTGGTCATGGCGTACTCCAGGGAGTAGCAGTCGTTCTGGATTTTTCATGGTCCGGTAGGGTACATTTAATCGAAAGGCTTCTGGCCCTGAATACGTGGAAGAGAATCCTTCAAATTTTCTGCAAATAATCTTGATGAAAACAGCCTCGGCCATCGGCAAATATGAAGAATTAGGTGAAAATACTTACTGCTTCATACTTCGTAGAGCATGTTTGCTCTACCGACTATGCCAAGTGAACAAAAAGCATCCTAGCAGTATTCTTACTAGCACCAGTAATACCTTTTTCTCTTATAATCATTACTGGTTAGTCTCAGAAGCAAAGAGCCGGGTTCATAACTTATTAGGATAAATTTTTAAAACAATGTATAGGAACACTTAATTCGCTCTATCTAGGACCCGCTCGGAAGAAGAAACATGGTGTTGAGCCTTGAGGTCACGCGACCTTAACTACCTGCTTAGTAGGCTACTATCTATCTGTTTCAACATATCTAGTAGCTTTTATGGCATACTTCATGTTCCAGGACTCTCTACATGTTGTCTCGGTAGGCAGAATAGCTTCAATCCGGCCTTATTAGGAAGGGGGGACGGTTAGCATGGAATGTGGGACCTAACACTGTAATACGCCTATGCCAATCCCCCTTACCCCCAAGCTCAACCGGGTATCATTAACAGTACACTGATAAATATATGCGACCGCGGCATAATGCCAAGGAACCGCGTTTAAACGCATTCCTTCATTGCCCTCTCAGCGAGCGAGCGAAACTCGGCGCAATTCTTCACCAATCGCTTCATCCCTTCGCTAGTAGTGCCTGAACACGTCGACGATAGAAATGCTTCTGCCTGGTCGAGAATCCTCATATTGTAGATCTGGCCTGTATCGCGGGGATTGCGAACAATACTGGAGGCTAGTGTTCGTAATGCGACGGTGGGGAAATACATCGTTAACCTTTGCTAATGTCAGTAAACTGTTGTTGGGGTAGCGAAGCCCAACTTACCCAAGGGAGATGTCATCCTTCGGGAGATACTTCATCAAGCCAATCGAAGCACGGGCAGCTTTAGAGGTCAGAGATGCTGATAGTAGAACCCTAGGATTGGATAAAGAATCAGGGTTGATGGTATATCCAGGATGGTCGGATAGATCCTGGGCAGAATTGATGCCTCGAGCGGCAACTAGAGAATGAATGGCGATCATGCAGTTGTGGTATGTGTTGTGCATGTGCAGTAGTATCAAGGATACTGGAGGGGAATGAAAGAGTGTAGGTGATTCGGGCTGAAATTCAGACGGGAGATTATCCTTCCATGCTTGTAATTTGCTATCCAAATCTCCGACCGAGGCGAGGATCTGATGGAACGGCCTATCCGTAGCTGAAGCGGAGTAGAGGCGTTGGTAGATCTCGCCTCTGATCTGTGCAAGTTTGCAGGCTGATGCGAAGGCGCTGAAGGTCCCTGCCCGGTCGTTTGTTGGCATGGAGTAGACGAGACAATTTGGTGCGTCCATTGGTAGAGCTGCGCTGATCGCTTCGTCATTTTGTACTGGTGGTTCACCGAATCGAAAGGAGATTCTTTCTGAGTCAGCTGACATGTATGGGATGATTGTGGAAAGACATAGGTGCATACTCCCTATCGAGGCAGTAAGCAAGCCAAAAAACCGTCTGCCGCTCCTGTTTCTCCTCTTCGGTAAAGATCGAGATGTCTTCGGTCGTCCCCAGACCCAGTTGGTCGCTAATGTGGATAGCGACGGATATTAGAAAACTGCAAGGCCGTGCAGCCGATGCCGCCATAAAAAGAACAACCTATATGACCATCAACGTCAATTGTCCAAGAATATCAAAGACTAGGAGCATACCATTACTAAAAGACCCTGAAGACCCCGAAGATCGGGCGGACCCAAATAAAGCTCGTTAACAGCCTCCAGAGCATTCTTCAGAAGAAGCCAGCTTTTCTGATGATCCGGCTGCTTAGAAGCCCCATTGTCAGGAAGCATGTAGGCAACTGCCAAAACAGCATTCATGATAGCCCACTGACCTGGATTTTGAAAGCGCATATCAAGATGAGCTCTTTCAAAGAGGAGTAAAAGGTCCGACCGTCTAAACAAGGGAAATGTGACATTGAAATCCTCCAAGTACCTTTCCACAAGACGTATGATATGCTCCTGAGGTGGGAGAGGACAGAACACTCTCCTGGGTGATATGCAGTGAAGTGGATAGTCGGCTATGAAACCATCACGCTCCTCCGTTAGGACGAGGCGTGTTAAATGGTCCATTGATTCGCCACCAGTCTTCTGCGCTATCCATTCTAAGCCCTCTTGTGAAATCATCGAGAAGCCTGATTGAGATTAGACTAGGAGGAGGTGATAGGTGGCCCTTGGTTTAACTTACAGCCAGAGTTCAAGATACCTCCGAGATATCTCGGAACGTTGAAGCATGGTACTGCCGCTTGTGGTTGACTTGATTGCCCGAATAGATTTGGCATATGAGGGCTTGGGGATCTGCTCGCTGAAGACCGGATCGACCCTGGAGGCGGGCTTGTGTAGATGTTGCCCCAATCTGTATCATCGACGTCCTCAACCTGAGGACTACGATCCGTGGGACTTAATGACAACCTCAACGGTGAGATATCACCAACTCCCTCTGATGATGAAGGACCGATTATGGTATCATTTTCGCCTACGGTAAAACCAAGACCCTGCAGACGAGACTCCATGCGCTCAAGACTTCCTTCCAGATGATTGATCATCGCCTGCCTTTACCGAGCTAGTCAGCTCATATTCGTTGCGATTAATTCGTTGGCAAAATGATGACTAGCCGGACCTTCTTAAGTTTGCCTGGTATCTCTGCAGATTCCGGGTACAAGCGATCCCCATCTTCTCACATTGCGAGCACTTGGCTTTGTTGGAGAGATCGCATTTGATCTTCCTGCGCTGACAGGTATCACAAGCCTAATTACATTTTTATTAGCGTGATAACAGTTGTGGTTGATGATAGTGGACCCGCACCTTTCTCCGTGTGCTTTTCCTGCCATCTTCCTTACCTGGATCTAAAGGAAACGAATCTTGT